CTAAAAATAGAGCTTTCGAATTAAGGCTACGTGTGAGCCGTAGGGACGAACGTTCGCCGAACGTTAATCCGCGACAACTTTTATCGCGACAGTTGCGATTTCGGCTTTCCGAATCAATCAAACTCGAGTTACATCCTAAAATACGCTGGCGATACTGAAAATCTACAGATTACGTTGCATCAGGTCAGTTACAAAACGGTTGCGAAAAAAAAAGAACACTTTTTATAAGCTTCGGGACGTATCTCGTGTCCAATGGGAGAATTTGTTTTTTAGTCGTTCTCGGGAAATACATTTTTCCGTTGCGAAACTCGTCGAAAAAGAAAATGTTGCAACCTTCTCGTGACTGACCGTATACAAGGATCCGCATTCTGAACTTTCTTTCATCGATAAAGATGCTTTAAATGTGGACAGCCAATCAGATAGTTTCTAAGCCACTTTTGGAGCCGCTTTTATCAATAAAAGAGAGTTCAGAACACGAGCCTATAGATTTTCAATACTGTCAGCACACACTTCGGAGTGAGGCTTTGATTCCTGTCAAGTCAAAGACCTATTGTTTAGCTGAACTACGTTGCGCTTCTTGCCTATAGAATGAAACAAGTATGCGGCTTAGCATTCATAATTCAAGAGAAAAGAAACGACATTTCAGTGCAGCGCTAATTAGGCTAAAAGCAATGTACCCAAACAAGGATTTGACGAAAAATGTCTAACACATACGAGGAAACATCTTTAAATCTGTTCTATTTGTAATTCTAGTCTATGTACTGAGAAAAAGATTTCTTCAAATTTAATCAATTTTAATTATTTAATAATTTTATCCAAACAAACTTCATCATTGGTATCCGAAGAAACGATTATTCCGATTAATAAATACAATTGTTAGACTTTTCAACGAATATGTATCTTTATCTTAAATAAAAAATTTGTTTGAAGCAAAAGATAATTTTTTTATAAAGAAATTATTTGTTTCATTTTACATATTTATTGTAACCATGTATTTTATCTGGTTAAAAGATATTATTTCAAATAATAGCGTTCTTTCTGCTAAATAATAGAGTTTTCTTGAATGAGACGATAAAATTTTTGCTCAAACAAATAATATTTATATAAGTATACGTTGCTTCTATGAAACAAATTTTAGTTAAATAAATAGAAATACTAAATCCAAAGAAATGTAAAAAAATTTGTTTCTTTGTGCGCGACTTAAAAAACTTTAGGCGGCTTTTTTTTACATGAGAAAAAAACGTGCGCCTCGCGATATCGCACAATGCTTGAAATTTTCCCGCAGGGAGAGGTGGACAGTGTGTATTAAGTCAGGTTAGGGTTAAGTTACATAAACGCGAGTACGCCAGCTTTTTTTCTGCCGGGGTGGATCAGAACGGTCGCCTCGGGCGACCTAGGTTAGGCTAGGCTAGGCTGGGCATGTCGCAACGGAACGAGACAATTAAGAACGGTCGGGACGCGTGACGATTGTAACGGACTCGATATCCGCGACATCGAGGCTACGCTCCATTGATTACCGATGAGACGGGGCCTCGGGATAACCGCAGACGGTATTTGCGAAATTTACCTGTCGCCGGAGTAAAATTCGAGATACCCACGAGATAACTAATGTCGATCACGCTTTCCGAGAATCGCGTCGCGTTTCGTAGATGCGTCGATGGGACACGAGTGGTTTTAAAAATACGCACAAACACACACACGCGCGCGTGAATCCTCCGAGAGGAGTCCTCGGAACGTCCCTTCCGGGAATACGTGTTGCCAAACACGACGTCACGAGTGCGAAAGATGGAGAAGGTGAGGTAGAGATCAAAGCCGATCGCACAAGAAGGAAAATCGCACAGTCGATCGTATAATCGATTTTTCCCGTCGCGTAGGCCGATCTTCCTGCGAGAAAAGTCGGCGTCACGTTTGGCGACGATTTGTTTACGACGCGCGTATGGCGTCGTACGGTGTATACATACATTGCGCGTCGCACACATACGTGCGATCGGAGCGAGGGAGCATGCGCTCTACGCAAGATGAGAAGGACTCGGCATTTCCCAGACTCGTCGGTGTGTACGCGCTACGAAACAACGGTTCGCCACGGAATCGCTCACCTGTCGTGCCGAATTCGACCTGATGAGCACCGGAATTCACGCCTACGCCGCCCAGGCCGCCGAGATCCTGCCACATTTCCGAGTAAATGCCACTTTCCGGGCTCACGCGCGCACAGAATCACCCACCTTCACTCGAGCGGCTCCATTTTCACTGACGACGATTCCCCGAGGCGCCAGCTAGCGCCATCTCACCTGCGGCTGCGCCAAGCGATCAACCACCGCATCGTTCTCGCGTTAATAACCGACGAGATGTTCTCTCCCGCGATTCTCTCTCTCTCTCTCTCTCTCTCTCGAGGCCGACTCTCTCGATGTCGGACGAGCGCCCAAAAGGCGAGCTGAAATTACGAAAACGTCTCGTGAGAGAGATGATGTCACGACGTCGTAGGAACGTTCGTTTCGGTCGGTGTTGTCTCTCAGGAAGATTTCAAAGCGGATGTTTTCCAAAAACACCTTATTTCTCGTTTTCCCGAACCCCTAGCGCGTCTTTCGTCCTCGTACTGATGTCGTCGCGAAGAACGCCGGCGCTTTACATCAGTGACGATACCATTATTTACACGCGAATACCTCGGCAAATGTAGCGATGTATGCAGAGAAAACGCACGAGAGAAATAAACGACGTACTCACAGAATTATATTTGATATATAAACTTGGTTTATAAATTTCCTTTAATCCCTATCTCGCTCATTGGAGTTTCTTACCTTTCAATGATACGATTTAAATGATAAGACTGCTAAAAGCTAATCTGGCCCGCCATGTTCGGTCGTTTTACTAGAAAATAAAAGTTCATTCAATTCGACGTTACAATTTGAAGATAAAAATTCCTCTTACCTATCATTCGGCCATATTATTTGGGAATAAAAAGGATATCTGATCCAATATTTGATTAATCGTCTTCGACTTGCCGGTGGAAAGAATGACGATACGTTGATTGAAGCTATATTTGAGAATAACAGCCAATCCGCTGTACCTGTCGAAACGAGTCGACGGATTGCCTGACGCCATCTAACGGTGTCAAGCGAAGACTTATTCCCGGTTCGAGTCTCAGCTGGATGACCCGTTATCGCTCTATCAAGCTGGACACGTTATTTTTGTTGACTTCGAAGTCTCCGCTACGAATCGTCCCTGACGAAGATTCGAGGCCATTCCACGGCAACCAGACGGGTTTTTTTAATTTCTTCTTTAACTTCTTAAAAGTAGATATACTGCGCAACGATTGCGATCAAACGAAAATGAATTTTTTATTTTGCAACAATGAGAACGAAGAACGGACCGTAAACAAATTTGAATGACTCTTCTTCAGATTACAATACTTCTTCCCCAGATAGAATAGAAAATGACGATAATATCAAGATGACATCAAAATCACTATAAAACTCATTTTTTAATCATTTTTTCATAATTTTGACGTCATTTTCTGTTCCATTTGATTTCTTTATTTTTTTTATGTCAATTTTACTTTCTTACGTTCTTACGTTGACTATCTTCTTACTTCGTTCTCACGTCGCCTTTATCCAACAATACATTAATAATCAATCATAATGTTGTTGTTATGTGTATACGACGATTGGCTGTATCAGCGTTCTCCAATTACTCCCGGATACACGCTTGATAGATACAAGAATTCATTAACGACTGTACGGGCTCTTAGCAATCTTCTTGACGTGTCGGTCTCTTATCAGCAAACAATATATTTCTACTCGCTCGGAAAACACTCTTTTTAATGGTCAATAACGGCTGCAAACTAATTGGCCTGGCGTTATCAGCTCGACTCGAAGAAATCGCGGATAAAATGACAAGAGGGAGGTCAAATCTTTATTCGACACGAATTTTCTCACCAAATTGACTACATTTACATGGAAACGTTAATCCGGTTTAGTAACAACCGTAATTAGCGAACCCTTGCAACAGCTTGATATATTCTTTTAGATCTAAAAATATATTTCAACAAACACGAAATAGTAATATAACATCAATGTTACAGTTTCCCACTCAGCAATGTAAATGCAATATAACACGTGTGTTGGTATGTTATTTTAACACAAAATTTAGTGTGGACTTTCTGGGACATACTAGGAAAAAATGTTAAAATTAACACTTCATTTTTTTTTACCGTGTATATTGCTGAGTGAGAAATCATAACACTGATGTTATGTTACTCTCACTTGGCGTGCGTTCGGGGAGCGCGCTATTAGTGCAGATCAGCGCTAACGAGTCTTTCTATCTTGGTCGTACATCTAATAAGGGACAAAAATAAAACGACGCGTTAGCGCAGATAACGTGCTCTCCGAACGCAGTGGTGTTTGTCTGGTTTTACTTTAACTAAATGCAAGGCTCACTAACTAAACGGTTGTTACAAAACCGGATTTACAAGAGGACTTATTGACGGCGAACGAGTTCCTCGCTCGTCGAGCGTCCCTCCGAGAATATTAAACGTGCATGTTGCGATACAAACCAGACAACACAAATGTCCAAAATCGGGACATGAGACATCTTTTAGACGTCTTGAAGTCGTGTTCAAGATGCGATATAAGACATCTTTAAGATGTTTTTAAGACATCTAAAAGACGTCTTATGTCTCGATTTTGGATATTGTGCTACCTGAGAATGTTCTCAAGCGGTGTCCCTTTGTGTCCGGCTCGATATCCCTGTCCATCCGTGTATGATCCCGGACCGGCGGCATTATCTCCTCGCCCGCCCCTCACCCTTTCGTTCCTTCCTTCGTCAAGATTGCTTGTTGTCAACGATGACTCTCGCGTCTCTCGCCGACAAGAAGCGGTGACGACGACGGCGACACATGCGACAGCAATATCTTTAGTGTCAGCTTGACTTTTTTTTGCAATGAGGGTCAAAAGTTCAGACTCGGAGCACATACGTCGGCTGTGAGCCGCAGTATGAATGCGGATGCCGCGGCTTGCGCACTGCGTGCGGGCCAGTTTACATCACCGGCCAGCGGTCAGCCGAAAATCGCGACTCGGGCTTCCGGCTCGGGGGTAGGCTTTCCTCGAGGCTCAGCTCGCGCTCAGCGAAAAGTATTGCGGAAAAGTACGGCGGGTCGCGGGGGGCAGATCATGGTCGACGTCGGTATCTCCTCGATGGTGAATTTCGGCCTCAGTCTCGCGCTGACGATACTCCTGGTGCCGCTGCTCGTTATCGCGTATTTAGGTAATTATCTCCGACAAGGGACCTTGTAACTTCGGACTCCTCCGGTAGTTGGAGCCGCGGATTACGGATAATTCGCATCATTCGGCCTGGAAGTCGAGATCACCTCTCGATGTTTTTATTCTGCTGTTCATTAATATTCATTAATTCGTGATTCATGCTCATATACGGAAAGGGAAAGAAAGATTTCGATGTCTCACAGAAAAATGAAAATTGTTATGTAATTTTTTGTTCACACCGCCGAAGAGCCTCGAGAGTATCAAATTCAAGTCGTCTTTCGCGCCCGATAGTCCCGATAGAACATTACTGATTTTTCCTAAATCGCGATTCGTGTATGGAAAAAAAAAGGAGAGAGAATACAAATTTCGACGTCGGCGAATTCTTCGTTGCGGCGCGCGCCCCAATATACTTTGGTATGTGTTTAAGTGGTGAAATGGACGAGGAGATGTTGGATACGCTTTGTGAAGTGGCAGTATCCGAATTATGTCGTGGTGGAGAGCAACAGTATCCGCAGCATATTGGACCAAGGACGAAATCACGTAGGTATCGGCGATCTTGACTGTTGCACAGAGGCCCATGATGGATATTCTTTGGCCAAAACTCATTTTTTGAAATTTCATCTCAAGTTAATATGCAAATGCAATTTTATGATGTCCTATAGTCAAATAATAAAAATTGTTACTAATTATTATTCTTTTATCACTCATCCGTAAATGTGATGTTAAAAATATTGCTTATTCAAAGGTAACCTTTAATCACATCTGTCACACTGTGAAGATTGTGTTACATATTACACTATTATAAATACTGATGATAGCATTATATATATTTAATATGCTCACGAAGGAAATAATTTCGTTCACATTTTGTTATATTTTTCTTATTTCTGAAATAAGGTAATAAATAAATTTGTAGTTGAAGTAAGTTTGCAACGGAAATGTGTTTTCTTGCCAACAGTTCAGGAAATATTTCTTAAAGAATTTCTGAAAGTTTTTGAAAAAAATTACAGTTGCGTAATAGTTGTCAACATTTACACTCCACCAAAGGCTGTTGTATTCATTTTGCCTTTTGAAAATAATCGGCCTTTTTTAACTTCGTATAACGTGCTCTATCAGACACTGTATGAGAGATTTCGAGAGAATCAGAAAATAAAATATTCGACCAAATGATGTAAAGTCCTTCCCAAAATTACGTAAATTTCTTTTCTATTCAAGAATATTATAAAAAAAAGAAATGTCATACTCTTCAGAAAAAAACTATTCATTAGAAAATCGAGTTATTTTGTCTTTATTTAGAAAAAAAGAGTGGGATAAATATTGAATCACTTACAATCTTACCAGTTCTCCTCTCTCCTTTAAAAACAATTTCTTCGTATAAAATATTATTTTTCTTAAGATTCAGAGTTTTCGTAAAAAATTTTCACTTTCAAACCACTGTGGGCTGGGGAACTCCGTTCTATCTTCGATTAGCGTCAACGACTTTGACCGGTTGTCATAATTACCGATGATGACGCAGGGTATCTGCACGCTCCTCGTGCAAGGCCGTTCGATCGCGGACGGGGCGAGGAATCACTTGGCGCATTTCGCTTCCACCAAGAAACTCCTCAGGTCAAGTCTGTTCACGCGATGGGGCGTGTACGTGTGGAAGGAGCTCGACTACTTCTCCGTCGACAGCCACCTCGTGAAGTCGCCATGCTTGTTTCGCGGCCGCCCCATCACCGAGAGCAACATACAGGTCAGCCAGCCCCCCGACAATCCGAGGCAGTTCTCCGGTCTGTTAACCGGACAGCGCAAACTTCTAAGAGTGCCCTTCCATGGCACAGACTTTTTGCGTAATTTTCTGGCGTGTAATTTTAACGTATTACACGTTTTCATATCACGCGTGTATGCTGTGTGTTCACCATGGAGCAATTACTTGCAAGCGTATTAATTTGTTTTAATAATAATTTCGTCACCAAAAGTCGGTATTAATACAATAGTAATAATTGAATATATAATAACGTGGAAAATGTTCATAAATTTAATTAATCGGAAGTAATTATTAGAACTTATCGATTGAAAAAATTGGATGAAACTAATATATTTGCTTGCACATTATTTTATACTGTTTATCTTTACACACTGATAAATATAAAGCCATTAGCTTTTTCAATTTAATATCATACGGTCAATTATTTTTGACAAAACTTTTTTTATGAGAAGCAAAAATATGTACTAATAATTGATCAACATTTTTTACGGAGACTACGTGCAATATGGAAGTACACTCGTGTGTGCTGTGTTATGCAGATTCATTTCTTTATATCATTTCTTTATGTATGGAGCGTGTTACAAATCGTATAGCCAATGAATTGCGACGTTTGATGTCTCTGTCGGTTCTAAAAGAATAGAAAGGTATGGTTATCGCACGCCATCGACCTATTGCATTTCATGGGGCATAAGAAAATGTTGTTTACGCGTAACAGAAAACACGTAACGCCTCTGATTGGTTACGTGATACGCGTTACGTGAGATACGCTATGGAATAACACCCTAAGAGGCGCCTTTTCCGAAGGAATAACTATAGCTTTCTTCGTATAAATTCTTTTAAAATTTTACTCTGATTTCTATAGTAAGGAATAGACTCTGTAAAGTTCATCTTGCTAAAAAACGTAGTAAATCTTTTAATAATGGATTTACATTCCTAAAATATAAATAGTTCACGGAAAGATAAATTAAGACCGAACGTCTATATGTTTTTCAGTTGCAAAGTTCTACAGTAATTTTTATTATAAAATACTCTCTTCGTGTAAAGGTGTCTAAAAGATGTTCTGTTTTGCTAAGTAAATCTAAGACTTTAAGATTATTTGAGACTTTGAGAGAAACTAAAAAGACAGGTTAATAAGAGCCAATCTACTTTTTCTAGACCTTTGAGACGTTTATTTTTTATAGAGATTTGTGCCGTCCGAGTGATAACGTGCGCGATTGCTTTTTCATAGGATTACGTAAGCGACGTCACGTCCAAGTTCCTGCCGGCGAGGCTGCCACCTTGGCAGGTGCACGTAGTGAATTGTCTCATGCGCGGGGAGGAACGTCAGGTATGCGTGGTGCGAGTGCATCACTTGCTACTGCGACAGGAGCACCTGACCTTGGCGGATTTCTTGCCGTTGAAATACTCGACGGACAATTGGACATGCCAAGAGAGCGATTCGCCCTTCACGAACTTGTATACCGCGCCCTCCGCTTTACCGCGTCTCAGGCAGATGTTGATTGAGAGCTTCAGCAATTACTGGAACGACTTTCTGTACAATAACGATCCCACCGAGCGGCCGGAGATCCTTAAGAAGCGAATAGGGTTATTCCAGTGCAGCAAGATCGCGGTGATAGTACTGGTCTGCACCATGAAGGAGCTGGCCAGGTATTTCATTTGTTCCCTCGACATTGGAGCGTGATCGTTTCTCCCTCTTTCTCTCTCTCTTTCCCTTTCTTTATTTGACAATTTGTCTTGTTAAAACATATTTTATAATATTTTATATAAGATATTTCATTTGTATAAAGTCTCTTCTTTTCTACGAAGAAATAATGTTTCAATCAAATATTTTGACTCAAATCAAATATTCTTGTATAAAGGGATACGCTTCCGTGAGTAAATAGATAAATAAAAATACGTCAAATGAAATATTAAATAATTTGTCTTCGTAAGAAATAAAAGGCATAAAAGAAATCATGTTCAAGCAAGCTCGAGTCTCTTATGTAACAAACAGAAGAACGTAGAAACGATCGCTTACGTGTTCGGAAAAATAGATGCTCGAGAGTAAACGTAAGCGATTGACGTCACGCCATCGCTCGGAACTTCGGACGGTAACTCGCCTTGAAACGTTTCTCCAGACAATGCCGAAAGTCAGAGGGGCTGAAGCTCCTGGAAGTCCTGTCGATTGTGCGGCGCGAGTCGGGCAAGCGGAACTTCCATCCCCGGATGGTGCTGGACTCCGCCGCGAAAACCTTCAACCCGGTCGACATATTTTACATGTTCGTCGCGTGGTCCTGGTACATCACGATCACGTCGTTGCTGAAGACGCCCGTGCTGCTGCTGCGTGAACTGCGAGCTCTGAATTCGCAACGCAAGCACTGCTACCCGGAGACCTTGACCTACACCTTATGGTGCTACCTGCCTCTGACGTTCCAAGCGATCCGGGAGGCGGTGTCCATCAGTTGGATAGCCGTGACGGCGCCCAAGGTTGTCCTCGAGGAGCTATTTCTGAAGCACCCGCAGTCGAACCGGCTGCAGACCATCTCGCCCTGCGGCAGGAAGGTGGTGGCCTGGTCAGAGGAAGTCGACGTCGAGTTTGTACGCAAGATCGCCAACGTGGCCGGCGTGACCGAGGCGGAGATCCTGTTGACGGCCACCGTGGACGCCCTGAGGGAGTACTTCAGGCACTCGACCACCAGCATACCGAACGACGTGTTCGCGACAGTGAAGTTCGTCAGTCAGCGAGAGATCTTCCTGCGGAACCACGAGGCTCGAGGTATCCTGTGCCTCGCGTTACCCACCCGGACGCCATTGTTCAACGACGATCTCATCGAGATACTGCAGGTGAGAATAAGAGCCGGGTGGTCGCAACTAGTTATCATTTTTCATCTCCTAACTATAATTTTTTTGGTTTAACCATCGGCTAACTTACTTATTTGGCCATTATCTAGCTACTAGGAGAAGCGAATGTTACATTGCTGACGTCAGTAGTGACGTTAGACACAAATTTATTACCTCGTGGTTAGACACCCTTATGGAAAAAAATTAGTCTTAAATCAAGAATAGATATTCTCATATATAAGTAAGAATATTGTAATCTTCTTAGAGAACTTTCAGTCTTGATTTGATTAAATTTGTATCGATGCAAATATTATTACTTGAACTTAGTGAAAATCTTCTAAGAAGATCGTAATATTCTTGCTTTTATATGAAAATATCTATTTTTTATTTGAGACTAATTTTCTTCCGTGCACGAGGTTCAACTAGGATAGTGTCAGCGGACGCCGAAAAGTTATTATCTACCACTGCTCCTTAGATTATCCAACGGAACGTCCAGGACGCCAGGTCCAGGCAAAGCGCGATCTACGCCATCACAGCGGCGGAGACGTCCCACGGACTGATCTCCTCCTGTGTGCCCTCCATCCTCTTAAAGCTGCTGCTAAACCAACTCTCCAGAAAATATTCTCTTTGCTTGACGCACGTAGACGGGGATTTGCCCGTCGAGGGAGTAGATACTGCGGTCTATTGGCGACCACCGCAGGGAAATTGCAGTACGCATCGATTATTGGATACATCTCTGCGGTCGTTGTGAACGAAATGGCCGATGTTTATGGCTCGTAAAAGTACAAAACTCTAAATGCATATATATATATATATTTATTTATTTATTTATTTATTTTGCAGATATGTCTATGACTCTGCACAAGCATGGGAACGCAGTGCGCCTCGGCATAATGGGAGACGCGCTAATCAACCCTCAGCACTTCATTATCGCGCAAACGTTCCCGAAGAGCATGCAGAATCTTGCTACCATCCTGGGTGTTCCGCGGGCGCCCAGCCGAAGTCCGAGTCCTAGTCCTCTCAGTCCGACGACATCGCCAGGATATTGAAACGACTCGTTACTCGACGTGGAAGAGAAGAGCTTAGAGTCACTTTCGACTAGACTCGAAATTCTCCTCAATGAGCTTCTTTTCGTCGAGTATCAGCAGATTAATAATCGATTAATCGAGCGAGCTCTTGGTTGATATTTAAAGTCAATGTATTTATCGAGAAGGAAAAAAATGCGTGTGTGTGCGTGTGTGTGGGTATGGGAAGGTGTGAGATAGTGTGCGTGTGGCTGTTGAGGCTCGACGAGCACAGCGACAGACTACTTCTTATTTCTTTAAATAACAATTTCATATTCAAGTACGCGTACAACTTCCCCTCCTACTACTATCCTCGGACGAGTACCTGAACTAAATATTGGAATTTCAAATGAGATGTTGACGTCGCGAATGGGACGGGATGAACGCTACGCATCTTTCTGTTGTCGTAATGACAGAGTTTTAACGTGTTTTAAGTATCACATTGCTGTAGTATAACGTGCGATACATCTTGGGAATTGTTTGTTAAAATAAGGACTATGTTTACATAGTCGCTCTCTGTCTCACCTTACTGGCTACGTTGTATGCGGTAACGTTAATGTGGTTTATTTAGAAAATAGAGAGGAACCTTATGAAAAGACTACTCTTCTAGAAGAAGAAGTGTGCTACTCAAGTGATGCTGAATCGCAAGAATTGGAAAACATATGCGAAAAGGAGTTAAGTTTCCTTAGCATTACTGCCAATAAAAACAGCGAACGAACGAAAGAGAGATAGAGAGAGAGAGAAAAACACGTTTGATATTTTTGTATTTTGTTTATGGAGGACGATTCAATCATGGAGGACGTGGAATCTCTTTATTCTTGTTTTAATAACCTTTTCGCTATTACCCACCGCTATAGTAGCTTCCGCTAAACGTTTTTTTTTTATTTATAACAAAACGCTATTATAGTGGCTTTTATATATAATTTATATTGAACACACATAAACAGCTTATCGTTCCTAAGCAACGATAGGCTCACTTATTTGGATATAAATAGAAAAATGTCAGTAATTTATTAACTATTATTTTATACTAATGTAGATACAGTAAATATAGTGTGAAGTAATAAATGCCGATTGCGCTGTTATTTATTATATGCAACGGCAAAGCTGTACGCCAAAGTATACAGCTGTGGAACTTTACGTCTAGTTCAGCTATAGCGAAAGGGTTAATATTGTGTGTAGTGAAAGCGGTACTTCTTGCTAAGTGTACAGTAATATACACGCGTTATTATGATGGAGTTTTAGTTAATATTGGCGACTCAAGGCAGTATGCAATGTTATGTGAATAACGACTCTTTTACTCTTCAGTTATTTACTGTTGTTGGATAGAAATATATCATTCATAGAGTTTCTGTAGTGTCGGTTAAATTACCTAATTAATATTTTCTTAGGATACACATTGGAACATAAGATTCAGTTACCTGACGAATGAGATGCAGCTTTTAAGAAACACGGATAATGTAACGTACGAATACGAATAACAAGTCGGTGTATATCGATGTTGAGTGTTTACATTTACGAACTGTTAACAAGCATATCTGTCTATATATAGCTGAGGACAGTTTCGTCATTGTATTATACAAGGGACAATAGGAACCAAACAAGTATAGTAGCAAAGAGACAAGACAGATATAGATGTGCCTTGGTGTTTTCTGTTTGAATGATTTTATCGTTGATAATAAAAGTAATCTATTTGCTTCTTCAAAGCAAAAACAGACGGAATAAATACGTTGGTACGTCGAGTACTTGCATTCTGATATGCAAATGTATATTTTTGTTATGAACATGTATAGTAAAAAAAAAATATAGTGCAAGATCAAAAGAACATAGTCCTATTCCAGTAGCAATAAGTGATATATATTGTAAATCTTAATACACGCTATATTCCTTCTACGAGAGAATTGAAGATCGTTTCTTTTGCTTACGTTTATAATTACATACATATTTATTTTGTATTTGGCAACGATTATGATACATCATTATTTTTGTTTCTTTTCTTTTTTTTTTTTAAGGTATAACATCATATTGATAACAAGACATTTATTAAATAGTTTGGTTCCCTTCTTCTTAATTTCCACATAAAAGAATTACAATATGCAATCATATTATATAATTGTTTTACATCGAAATACACAGTAGAATCCCCCACACTGCACCTCATGTATTAGATACATATGTTATAATGTGCAGTAGTCCGTTTTACGTTGTGAGCACATGTACTTTGTAAATGTGTGCATGTACTTTGTAAACAGTTACCGTGCAATGTGGGAGTTTCGAATATTAATTTTGAAAATCAGAGGAAAATTACGAGGCCATCAAGAAGTTAAGCATGGATGAATTAGTGCTGTGTAACGAAAATTAATATTCGTATCTGAAATATTAAGATGTAGTCAATCTTTATCGTGATAATGTTCAACAATAATATTCAACGTCCCTGTCCTTATCCGAAATCTCTTCAATAATAACAATGGAATTGGCATGGCACTGCGGCACATGAGGTCGGCTGGCTTACTACTGAAAAGAGTCCAGATAAGGACAGAAACGTTTAATATTATTGTTGAACATCATCACGATAAAGACTGACAATAAAGATTGACATCTTAATATTTCAGATACGAGTATTTTTATTCTTGTTACATAGTACTAATTTATTCGTGCTTTGGCTCTTGATGGTCTATTTTTCCTTTGATTTTCGTAGTTTCACGGAGTCTATTATTCTTTGATTTCTTTAATATTAATTTCCTTTATGTACAGATATAAAATCTATGTTAATAAAGTCTCTTTTCCACCGCATCTAATCTGTGTACGAAAATAATTACTTAATGTAAAGTAGGAATAACCGCGCAAGTAGAAACTATATATTTTACTTAAAATATGCGTCTGTGATTATTCTTCCAATCTTCCCGAAAAAAAGATACACGGTAGCATCCATGGATATACTTTACGTGAAACACTACCGCGTCTCTTGTTATCATTCTTACGTATTTCTTTAACCTTTTCGCTACGGCCGAATTAGACACAGAGCAACACAACTACTCTGCTGGCAGCTTAATATAAAATGATAACTAATCTATTAATGGAATTTTTATTTATGATATTCAAACAAAAAAAGTGTACAATTTATAGAAGAGAGACAGTGTTATTTTTTAATGCTTAACAGTTATTACCATTATAGTAGTCCGTAGCGAAAAGGTCATGTGATGCTTTCTTAAAATGTATAAAGTTATTTGTTTAATTCAAATTAGCACTTTCAAAACTACAAGAATTTTGAGAGAAAAAAATACGCTGCTATATAGATCTTGAACGTTTTGCTTGAAATTAATATAAATACTACATGCAAGTTCTCCCAAGGCCTTTCTAAAATACAGTCAGCAATATGTACAGGACAGTACATTCAAGTTAACTATGATATATTCCCATCATACCGTTCGCATTCGTTCGCATCACTTTAGGGGGGAGTTATATTTATAAAAATTCATTGCGTCAAATCCTCGTGCCATTCGAAGAAATAATGGGTTTAGTAAAGAAACTATACAGACTGGAACCAAATGTATGGTACAATCGAAAAAACGAAAAATAATTTGAGAATATAAAATAATATTTCTCCCAAACTATTACAAGATATTCAGAAAATTTTGACGATGCGGCTGTGTGCAGATAGAATTCGTTTAATTGAGTAGGAAAGTCACGTACAATTTTTCAAAATTTGCAATAGTTAATGAATAATTAATTAATCTATCTGAGCGAATAAATGCACGGGAACGAGTAAGTCGGACTTCGTAGGCATGTATGAAGATAATTTCGAGCATGTAAAAAATGGCTTACGGATTAATCAATTACTCATTAACTATCGTGAATTTTGCAAAATGATACGTAACTCAGTTTATCCCATTCTACTTGCACACAGCCGCCTCGTCGAAATTTATCTGATATTTTATATATAATCTCTTCTTTTCAACTTTTTTCCAACTTGTTTTTAATTATTTTTATCTTTTTCGATTCTACTATGTTCTGTCCTCTTATAATATCAATGTATATTAAATTCAATCAATGGCACTGTGATTTAACGTATAAATGTAGCAACATTCCTTAAATTTACGCGAGTGTTAGAATGTTCGCACATATACACACACACACGCGCACACAGATCGGCGTAATAGTCTTATCATATGAAGTTACCATTTCAGCAGGATGAATTTTTTGCGAAAAATTGTAAAATGGTACACTCACGCGTTAAAGGTATTATACCGATTGGTGTATTATGTATCTCTTCGTTTACCCTGAATATTTTATTAGTGCAAGAAAAATTTTGGCTTGCTTTTATCGTTGAAAAAATAAAGCAAAGAAGACAGTCTTATGAGCACATTATAACCTATATCTTAGGTATAAAAGATCCCGGGTAAGGAAGAAACCTACGACGCTCAAGACATGCTATCTAAAAAATAATTTAATAAAAGCGTTTCCTTTTATTTTCTTGGTGTTTCTGATATAACATAACGAGACCGATAACACAAGATATTATTACCAATGCACCAAGTAGCAAGACTAGGAACAACTTTATACCACTCATGGGCTCTTTCGGATCTTCTATGCGCGCTAAAACAAAAAATAAATATTAGAATAGAGATTTAGACGTGTACGTAATATTTTTTTTTTTAAAGTATACCTCTTGGTGGATCGAAGAATGCTGCTGATGGCACAATTTGAGATCTATCTTCTTGATCTTTCACCTGTAAATTAATTTATATATTTTTAAACATACGCTGAGAACTTGAGCAATTTTAATGCTATGATACTCTATTAAGAAAAGAATAATTTAATATTTACATCATCAGGTAAGTCTAGCTCAAATAGACGAATCGACAATATATCATGATTGTCAGAGAGGTCACCCGTGGTTGCTGAAATTCCAATGTAATATCCCGTTGGAAGTTTAATCTCCTTCACTGAGAAACACTCTGCCCACGCAGCTTTGTTAGAAATGTCCTTGAGAACTATATAAAATATATAATGAGAGAAATTAGTTTTTTGGAGTAGTTACATATGCATTGTATTTACACACACATACAATCTAGTCAACACACACACACACACACACTTGCAAATTAAGGAGAGACTAATTATAGAAATGATGTAAGCAATATATATTTAATAAAAGACTTAAGGAGCTTTAATTCTCAATTTTGTCTTTTATTTCACATACCTGTTAAAGTATCTCTTTCATACTTTATAGATATGTGTGTATCGTGTTCTAAATTCCTGAACTTTGCTTCACATCCGGCAAGTTGCGTATGAGTGCCATCACGGTCATGATCATAATGCAGGGATCCATTATTGATCATTGCTGAGATATAAGGATGTTGATGCTGTTTCAAATAAATTGCTCATGTATTAAAAGAAGAAGACAAACAAGACGTACAAGAATTTAAAGGTTATTATGTAACACATAAATATCAAAATTGTATTCAACATACATTGTGTGGGCCATTATGATTGCTATACGTATCAAGTATCACTGCTAGTCCTTGGAAGAAGTCTTCATTTCCAAATACTGGGCCTGACTTCATCCTTTCTTTGGCATACCAAATGACAAAACCATCTCCAAACAAGTCTTTTCCTTTTCCATGTACTTTAAACTGAACTTGTAATTCCCAATTTCTCACATGACATGGCTGTAAATGGGAAAGGTTAAAATTTGAATTGGTATATAATATATTACATTTATATATATTTTCGCCTGAAAGAGTTAATATACTGCATATAATGATGTAAGATACTTACAACAGAATTCCATAAGGCACCTTGCTTGCTTTGTAAATCTGGTGTTAGTCTTATATAATTATTTGTTACCATTGTACTCCCCATAAAATCCCAGTAAGGTATTGTCATACCTGCCCCTGTATATCACATAAAATTTTGGAAATACAATATATAGAATACTGCAAGATGTGCATATTAAAATGGTAAAAAAATTCTGAAAAAGTAAATAAATATATTTCTTATCTCAAGCAACATCTTTTTTTAGATATAACAGTTTGAAATTGGATTCGTCATAGTAATATTAATGCTCTAAAATCCAACAGGTTGAGTTATGGAAAAATCCACACAACAGATAATAACAAAGTGATTGGAGAATATATAAATTAATAATTAAATTTCAATTTATAACTATTTTATTATGCTTAATTATGATTAACAATACATATATTGTAATGTATGTAATGTAACTAAACAGGAACAAATAAGCATTGAAAATACTGTTTAATAGCAATCGCATTAAAGCCACAATAGTACACAATGATAAATGAATGAAATGATATATAGAAATACAGATATGTAAATATATATATATATATATAGCTTTCAAGTCACATGATGCTATAGTTATAGAGAATGATCATAATTAGTGCATTGTGCCATGCTGTGTCAGTAACATAATTGTGTACGTGATTTATGTATTACGTTAACAGGTCCAAATGGAGCCGAACTTGCCCACTACCCGGCCATCGTTATTTTTTAACTATATCTTTCTCACTTTTGTACATTTATGTCTCTTTAATGTCACGACGCAGGAAAAACCGCGAACATCGTTCTAACGTGCAGGTTTAAAACGCGTGCGAGTTTTATTCATCATCATCGTGATATTTAGCGGACAAAGTCCACACGGTCCACTCATTCTTTGTGCACCGTAACCTCAAATTTAGAACGAATCGAGGTGGATTCGCGGTTGCGGATCGTACGGGACAGAAATCTTCCCCCGTGCACGATAAAACGCGGGAGCAAAGGGTCACCGGCGGCGATAAAGACCTTCCGAAGAGCACAAGAGCAGATAATTGAAATCGGCATACCTTGATACGGCTTAATCAGAGAATGTTCTCGTTTCATGTAGTCCTTCGTGTTCCATTCCGCGGCACAAGACGTCAAAACGCTGACAATCAGGAGCAACGACGAGCAGATCGCCTTCATTTTTTTTCTCTCGTCTTTTACAGGAACGTGGCGTATCGCGCGACACGACGGTTACTTTAAAATAAATTTTATCACTCGCGAACGATTACAATGCATAATCCGAAATGACCGATACTATCGTGAGCTACCTGACTAAATACCGCTCGCACACTATTCGTCCCGTCAAATTGACAACGTCATCGATGAAATATGCTAAAGATAGTTCATCTCACCGGGCACTTGAGAAAAAAAATCGCCGTGCACTAACGCCATCTCGACGAACACGTCTGAGAGGTCAGGGTGAAGCTCATCCAAGTTCAATGCGTGTTTAGCTCGTGAAAAGATTTTCAACGAGGCAAAATATTCACGATTATTCAAATTATGAGATTGTTATTCAGATGTTACGTAGATAATACGTGTGTGCGTCTTGACATGGTATTATATATTTTTCTGAAATTTCATCTCTTCATCGAGATATTCGGTCTGTTCTTTTTGGCCGAACTGACTGCACTAGTTCGAGAAATTTACATTGAAAAGTATAAAACGTACGTGCGAAATTCTCGCTTCAGTGCGCATGAATTTCCCGAACTAATGCAGCCAATTTAGTTAAAAAGAACAGACGAACTATCGAAGAGCATCGAGGCTTCGAGAATCGCAATCGCTGCAACTTCAGCAAGCTTGCGGAGTGGCTCGTTACAGTGCGAGAAATCGTCTCTTGCGATTCAATCCGCCGTAGTTGAGTCTCGTGTCCGAATGTGAATTATCGTCGTCGGCGATGCTGAAAGTGAATTTCGCGTTCTCGTTGTGACAAAACATCGCGAGATAGCTGTCGAACGTAAATATCTCACGGGCGTCGGGAGTGATAAGTGAAGCTGGCGTGTTCGATACTTTGAGAAACTCACCGTGATGTAGAATTGGTTGCAACGTTCTAACGGACTAATCTGATCGCGCGCCATTACTCCGTGTATTCCTTACGATTTCGACTCGTCGAAGGTGAGTTTTGCCTCCGATGCCCTCAATTCATAATCGGACTTCATATTCAAGGCTTCCTCAAAAATTCATCTTCAGATGCTTCGCAGCCAGTGAAATGAGACAGAAGACAGTATCAGAAGATGAATTTAAGGAGGCCTTAAATACAATATCCGACTGTAAATACCGGTGTAAGACATTTCTTTTCGAATTTATTCTGCCTGGATCCGTTCGTCGATCGTCGCGCCGCGTCGAGCAAGTTCGTAAATTTACGCGCGTTGACGGCGACAGCGCCGCCATCATGGCCGCCGTTCCTCGTCGCGTACAAGCTCTCAGCCAACGGAATTCGGCGTACGACGAGAGTGACCCGCCATTGTATACGCGTACGTATATATATATAGCACACACACACACACACATACATACACACGCGCACACATCAGCCACACTACTTCACTGACAGTTCGCATTCCGCGCATGTTCCTCGTCTTGCGTACGAGATCTACCGTTAGAAGTCCATAGTCGAAGCTATCTCTCGCCCGTATCGCGCGTTTTTACGACGCGCCACATACATACGAGCGGAGATACGCCGAGAGAGAGAAAGAGAGAGAGAGAGAGGTTCGACGAATCGTCCGGCCGGCATCCATTGTGTGGGTGCACGCGCGCGCGTCCGCTAGCATGCGTGCGTACGTTCGTAGTGTCTCACCGCAGGCCCTCGGCGTTGCATGGTGTCCTTTGTAGTGCGTACGTGTACTTGAATCTCGGACGGACTCCGCTCGTACGACGAGAATACCGGCCCCCCCGCATTCGTACCGGCGATCCGGCGTCGCGATTAGTCGGCCGCGGCGACAGTAAGAAAGGGCGATTATTAATATTTTGAGCTGAGAGGGCGAGAAACTGCGTGTTTGCGAACGAGAGAGAGAGAGAGAGAGAAAGAGAGTGAGTGAGTGAGTGAATGAGTGTGGGTAAGAGAGAGAAAGAGAGTGAGAGAAGGAGGGAGGGAGAAAGAGAGAGAGATAAGAGCAAGGTATAGAGATATTATATTTGTACACTAAGTGGGGGACCTTACGCGGGCTTGCTGCGTTAGCACGAAGTAAGACCGGATAAGAAAAAGGGCGTGGGGTATTACCGGGCGATTAATAGGCACGCCGCTAAAACGTATCTTGGCCATGGGTAAGACGCCAAAGAAGGCGGCCCCTGGGGGCGATGAGAGGAATTTATACGTTCGGAGGCTCAAGGCAACGACCGCGCCGTCGAAAGCTTCCGAATCTAGCTTGCCCGAGAGACAGCGCGAGTCCGAGAGTTCGAACAGGTTTGTAGAACCAATCAGCAAACAGCGAATTGCAAGTTCCACACAGAGTTTCTCAGAGTTGGATATGCTTGCGAGTCGCTCCCTTGAATCTATACGATTGAATGACTTCGATCACTCCAATGTGAAGAGATATGAATTATGCCGTAGTTGATTGTTTATAAATCGGGATATACCTGATGCGATATTTGGAAATTGAATGATTTGTTGATTGCTTATCGCTGTAGTTTAAAGAGTACCGGAGCTGTGTACTTTGTAGCATTGATGTTTTGCTAGGAGCATTGCTAGATTCTGTGGGCGTCTCATTGTATCCTCAAGCATAGTACATATTTATGATAGTAACGTGTACGCTTTGTGATCTCTTCGAACAAAGCATTACATTTGTCTATTCAGAGGATCGGCTTTGAAATCAGAATCACCTCATTGTTGAGATTCAATAAAACCGATTGATAATTATAGATATATTTTGCATGCGTGTATGAGAAAATAGAGGCATCTTCATTTCTCAGATGACATGAGAAACTCATCTTCTTTTATACATATTTTTCAATTAGTACCTCTCATCACCACCAGCATTTCTTACTCAAAGGCCATATTTGCCATATGGTTTAATCTTTTCGTTGATTATGATTATCTTGTTTTTGTTTCAGACCGAAATTGACTGGTATAAAGAAAAAGATACCAGGCGGATCTAGAAAGAATATTAAGGTACATGATTTTAATTTCCTCTTATGTATTTCATCATATTTATAATGTATTTACATTTTCTCATTATGAAAAGTTGAGTTATATTTAATGTAATTATTTTGAGCTGTATTGCAACTTGAAAGGAATTATTTACATTGCTATTTATGATCCATCATCATTTGCGAATAGCAGAACTTCATGAATTCCTGACTATTTGTTAATTTGTATCTTTTTTATGTAAAGAATATTGATCCAAAGGCTGAATAATATGACTACAAATGTATAATTATTAATATTTTCAACCAAAGATTGTCAATAATTTATTGGGTATAGTAGCCTTTGTAACTGTGGGTTGTAATATATTCTGTAATTTATGAAATTACATGACGCTTTGGGTGCATAATAGGTCTTATATTATCAGTTTGTATAGTATTACGTTCTTATCTCTCATGCCGGTATTGATATTTGAGAAATAATCTTGTTCAATTACTATTAAGATAGTCTTATCTTTTAGCTTAGATTTGGCATGGTGCTTATTATAGTATATCACATGCGATAATGTTTTAATACGTTCACACTTTATAAAACGAATGATTTTTATAAATATGTTATATATACATTTTGTTGTGAATACTTTGTTATATCAATAATATTGTACATATATTAATTAATATGTATAATTTTTGTGCTGCTCATGTTAAACACTATGCTCCTGAATTTAATCTGTCTGTTAGGGCTATTCTTTGCAGTGCGGAAATAATGTATGTTGCAGAGCAAACTTCGCCCTCCGTCAAAAGTTGGATCGAATCAAGCGACAAAGCAATTGAAATTATCGATGAAAAATTTCGAAACAAAAACCATAGACATGCAGCCGAAATCGCAGGAAGCTGATGTCAAATTGAATGTCCCTGTCCAGGAGGAAAATATTAAGGGGGAAAAATTATTAAGTACCAACAAAGCTGCCAAGGTTGAGGAACATGTTACTGCTAAAGAACACGTCAATGTCAACACCTCTGAACAGACTTCAAGTGAACCTCAAGCTCCCGCAAAGACTCCCACTGTTCAGGAAGCAGTGTCTACCGAGAGCGAAATTGTCCATCAAGAAAAAGAGGGAGTATCGTCGGAAAATATTTCCAACACTGAAGCCAAAGAAGCTGAAGAACAAGAAGAGAATGATGTAAATTTAGTACTTGAGGTCGATCAAGTAAATCAAGGACAAGATTCTGTGAAATATGAAGAAGAAAAGCCAGAGGACAAACGATCGAAGGGTGATAAAGGAGAAGAATTATCGCTTGTAGAAGACGAACTGAAGAACGGCGTACCTGAAAAAGATGAGATGCAAAATGAACTTCAAACGGACACCGAGAGTTCAGTGGAAATTGTCGAGTCCACAACGTCTGAGGTATCGGAAACGTCAGAACCTGTTACTCAAAGTAACATGCCAAAGGTTCAAGAAAAGATTGACGACACATTGAATGATGTGTCGTTTATCTCCTATGATTCGTCTATAATGCTGAAAGATATACAAATCAAACTTAGTGATTGTCTGAAAGATAATTCGAAGCTCTTCGACGAGAGCAATATGGAGGATACGCCGCGTCAATTTACAAAGGAGTCGTTCGGGAAGACACTGAGAAACATCTCTGGAAGGCACTCGATCAACAGAATGCGTCATCTTGGTTTTTACGAGAAGAGGATATCGCCAAACAGCTCTCTATTCGTAAATACATCGAAGATATCGACACTGCAGGATGAAGAGCTGCCTTTTTCAGAATTGAAAGCTCTACGTTACAATAGCGCTCTATCCGAGAGTTTGCCTACGAATGGCAGCTCATTAGACAGAAAACGCAAAACCGACACACCGATTTGGAATTCGAGTAAAAAGCAGAAATCAGAAACTGAAAGTGGTCTGTTGAATACACCAATAAATCTCTTGAAAGGCTGGCGCAGACCCATACAGGTATCCACACCGAATGTCACATACAAGTTCGAATCTACTAAATTAGACATTAGCGGGATAAAGGATGATGACAATAAAATAACGGTCGAATCAACCGAAAGTACAAAGAAATGGTGTGTCATCATGTAAAATATCATCGGGAAAATCGGCTCTCACACACACACACACACACATACACATATACAATACATAGGAAGGAAAGAATTTCTATATTTTCATGAAGTACTGAAAACTCAACAATCAAGAGCATTGACATTATTATACATTATTTGTGAATATTGATTTTGTTTCTACTAAAAAATTAAGATTCTTATTTTCTCACGCTTCTGGGATTCCTCCCCCCTCTCCTCCCAACAGGGACGAGGGTACACTTTTCTTACGAATTGTTACAATTTTTGGAAGTTCCCATGTTCTTTACAAAAGAACATTAAAATGCAATGTGCGTATTTTTATCAACTAAATTGTAATATAGCCCAATATTATTCCCACCGTATAGACTTAAAATTGTAACTCGTTTACACTCACTGGCTCACTAACCTTAGGACGGAATCATCTAAAAAGTAAAATATGGTGTAATGTCAAAAGAGTACAATTCTTTTAACTTTTTACATGACTACTGTATAAGTAAAGACTTGACTCTATAAAGCGTATCGATTTAAAATATGATATAATATAGAATAATTAAATTCACATGTACAGAAATGTGATATGTATCTAATTTCGGTACATGTATTAATTTATGTATCGCGTATAATTTGTATTTATCTTGAATGTAATTCGTTAGGTAGATTGATACGTGATAAATACACCGATGAATAGGTTTTAATCTTCCGCTAATTATAAATAGAAATAGTTCTCCTTAATATATAACGTTTTATCTTAATCGAACACGGAATATTCACAATATTCATGAGAATAATTACCTACATATTATTTTATGCATATTATGTCGTGATTATACGAGGCTTCTGGAAAATTCCTACTCTATTCATGATACTTATTCACGTATAATGTATGTCGTACAATGCTTCACACAAACATATATCTTCGTTCTTAGTTATCATTAAAATATACTTGCATTTCGTTAAAAATTCATCCTTTTACAGGATCTTCTGTCGAAAGTATCGCGGTACTATCGATATGACCGAGCTTTTCCGATGAACTTTTGAAAGTTGATTGTAATACGGATCTAATCTTATGTATTTTTCTAGTTATAGCAAATTGTTACTACGAGATAAGTTGCAGTGTTACTCTCACATTTATGGATACAAACAACTCCTTTTACGACTTGTTTCTTTCTATTAAAATATTAGCTGCGTTCAGCGAAGAAAGGAGCTCAGCGAGTGCTTATTATTTGTGATTGGAGTATTCTTTTAGCTACTTTATAAATCCAAAAGAATGTACTGATCAGAATCAATAATCATTAAGGGCTCACTGAACCATTTTTTTCTACTGAATGTAGGCGTTCTTATTGGTTATCATAAACATAATGATGACGACTCCATTATACAGGAGTTCCGATAATTGTTACAAATGTAATCCTTTTAATTAAGCAATAGATCGTTTCTGTATTATTTAATAGAAACGTTGATTCTTGTGCAACTTATTCGATGTGTAAGAATACTCATTAATGTCTATCACTACGACCATCTCTATTGCAGCTGTAAACATATGTATGTGTTGATACCAAACTGTATATTATTATGCAGTGTATCTCTTTAAGAGAAACGAGAGGAATGGAATGGCAGAGGAGAGAGAGAAAGAGAGAGAGAGAGAGAGATGTATATATATACACATATTGACAGAAGGATCTCATTTCGTACGCGACATTTTTTAATCGATTTGCGCATTCAAAGCCTTTTTTTATTTGCCACAAATATAGGTACATTTTTGTCACCCGTTGAAGGCGTGTGACGTTATATTGCCTTTATATTAAATCTTTGTTCGGATATATGCATATATATTAAACCAGATATATCCGTTGTGACCTTCCACATCGTACATGATAAATGAGAATTAGAAATGATTAAGACAATTCGACCAAAGTAATTTGCCGATGTCGGTCGGTGTATTCGTTTAGACTTGTCCAGAGTAATTATTAATTGCTAAAGGCGTATGTAATGTGTTGCGAAAAAAAATGTTCGGTTTGTTGAAGCACACGTTGAGCAGAGTTTTCTCGCTAACATCGCGAAAGGAAAAAAAGGCGTAATTTAGATTAATAATTATTCAGGGCTAAACGAGTAATCGTTAGACATACTTTTATACTTGTTCAATTAGTAGGAACTTTAGAAGCATATCCAAGAACATGTACATAGGAGAACCTATGAAATTTATAATAAACTATCGAAACTAAGCGCTTTTGCACGTATGTTAATTACTTCGTCGAATAATCCATAATTTCCATTTCAGTGCCCGCACGAACGATGTATTTCGATGTTAAACACGAGATCGTTACGCTTTGTCGTATAGTAATTTATCGCAGTATGTGTTACGCTCGGCGCAACGATGAATTTATGTTGCTAACTCCTAGAATTATATATTATTTTTTAATATTTATACAGCTTGTTCTTTGTCACTTCTATCAAATTGTTATCAGTGAATCTTGACGTTCTTTTCAAACGTTCTTTCTGCGCGAAATGGAGAGAGAAAAATGCTGTCGATGATGTATATGTTCCCGGAAAGGCTCATCGAAAGTGCGCGTTCGCGCATGAAAATGCAATGGACTGCAGCGGGATGCAAGAGTCGATGGTAAAGTCCCGAGAGATTTAAGAGAATAAAGGAATAATCTCGTATCTCGTTCCTTTGGTCGCATTCCAGAAATGTGGCATTAAATCAACAACAACGGAGTATATACCACGCCGGACAGGTGGCCTAGTTGAGCTAATACCGGTAACGCAAAGGACAAGCCCTTGCAAATTAATAACATTTCGTAGTTTGCAGATTTAGTTGAGTAGATTTAGCCGACGTTAAAGCTCTCGCTTGGAATGGTCTCATTTTCCTTCATTGCTTAGCACATTGTGCATTAATTGATATGTAAGGTAATCCGAAATAAATAATAATTTATAAAATATAGAAGATCATTTCGTTGCCGCGTTAAAATTCGTCTCTCGTGCGTTTCTTTGTGCGGGAAACTTTCGTTAAATTCTTGCTGTGGTAGCGCACATTACATATTGCTATTTATTCAAACCATTTTCAAAATTAATTTATGTGTTTCGCTACTAATATGCAGTGAAAATGGATTGAATTAAATGTGTTGCATTATTTATTTGAATATATTTGTGGGCTCATATTATCACGAGTATATTACGAATAGCAACGCAGAAAGCATTAACGGTATAAAATTATTAATACCTGTCGAATATAACGAGAAACAGTCCTTTTGAAGCATATAATTCTCGCTGCTCAATTACGTGGTATTTCAGTATTAAGTCTCCCTTTCAGACGAGACCGAGAGCCCCAGCTGCGCTTTAATAATTATACTTGATTCGTCTGGATGTCTGTCTTAAGATATCACTTTTCATAATTAATGCCATTATTTCTCCTGCTTCCTTCGCTTTTGGTTTATCATTAGATAGGATATATACTTCGATGAAAGTCACGTTGAACGTCTTATTAAGATGATTTATTGTTAATCTGTATAATTTTATCGCAAATATATGTAAAATAATATACAATATATCTCTGTTAAAAAATATCTATTATGAGACAACAATTATACCGTTTCGACGGCTATTTAGTTAGTACTGTGATTTAAAATTCATACATGCCGAGCGTTAATCCATAACTTAGGATATAATAAATAATGAATAAATTGTGTTAATATTTCTGAATATTATAAGACAATTTAATCGTTCATATTTCTTATTGTATATTTCTCGCGCTTTATTTATTCTACATATTTCGATTATATTTTTAATTATATAGGGGTTGGCATGCACAGTTTGTACAGTTCCGATTCGTCGAGAGATCGCGAGTGAATTAAATAATTCATCTTTTTAATGGGCCAGTCGTGTTCCATCCGAAGGGAAATATTTTCAGACGCAATAATCATGAAAAAATATATAGCTATTACGTATATAAAAGGAATGCAATATCCCGCCATTATTCAACGATTATTCATCGTTCATAAAATTATTACTAAAATAATTTAACTTGGTGTTGTCGGAACATGGCTAAAAATTTGCAGTTCCATTTTTCAATTCAATTTCGCGTTTGTTTTCTCCTCCATGTTCCACCACGTACCGACAGGACGACGCAATTTTTTTTTGAGCGACAATGCCCGCCTTTCCTCATATCAATCTTTTTTGTCGCGAATATCAGATAAGGCCCGCATGAACGAGTTGTACGCGGGGATTTAACAGTGCCGCGCAACACCGTGTCACATGTTACTCTGAATTCTTTATTCCGCGGTCAACGGTGTCACGAGCAATAGACCGAGCAAGATACGTTTCTGATATTTAAGGTCCGGTTGCGGCATCAAGTGTCAACGGCGCAGAATCATAAGCGCGAACGCGAAATTGAAGCGTGCTGCGGCGCGGCGCACAAGATAACCGTCCTGTGTACGCTCAATTTGCAAATTTTACTTCGTGCATTGTTTTCCCTTCACCTGTCGCGAGATCACATTGTTTTCATCGACTTTACTGTGTCACGCTGTGAGAATCGCGCAAACTCGGAAAGATCAATCATGATTTTAGAAATCCGTAAAATCCATTCGCGTTGCGTCAGATCTAAGCTTCGGATATACATTTACGGATACAATAACGGAATAAATTGCGTGGATTGCTCGGAGACACAGACAGCTTTTCTCGTGACTGTTGTAACTGAGTGCTTACCATTTTTCGCTACTTTATACGAGTATTGATCGTTGAATTTAACGAATATTAATGATCGAATCGTTAGGAAATCGTAAAAACGTAACGACTAACGATTGTCCGACTTTCCTGAAACTTTACAGAGAGGCTACGCGCTTCAGCAGGTCAGCACGACGGCTCGGTGAAGGCAAGGGCCTTGGCAGCCCTCCCGCAATCCCGGCCACAGGACCGATCTGATCCTGGTCCCGTGCGGATTCGGGGAGGCGTGATGCCTCACGTGGACATCCCTTCGGAACTCGAGATCCTGCGCCACGTCGAGCACCAGCGGTGTTGAACGCGCCAGGCACGCCCAGGCTAAACTGGAACACGCGCTGGCGTAACTTTTGACCTCGGCGCAACCACGCAGACATGGAAAGTCGTACAGTGTCCTCTCCAATTGACTGACCACCTGCTCGGCGACCTCACGGGAACCGGTCTGGGCGCCGGAAGTGGCCAGTTGCCGTTTTATGCATTCTTCGAGCTCCGGCGTAACCGCCGCCGTCGTCGTCTGCACGCCGCTCGCCGCCGCTGCGGCGGCACCGTTCAGGATCTTCAAGGCCTCCAGACGCCTCGATGTTTGGACCATGCCGGCCAAACGCCACGAGAGCTGCGGACAGGGCAGACGGTTAGCGGCACACGGTGATGTAATGTTCAATTCACATTCCCTTCAATTCCGGGCATGCATGTCATTAAAATAGGCGCGTCGTAAATTACTTTGCGCGACTGCCGTTCGGCGTACTTGAGGATAACTCCAGGTGAATACGGGAATGGAGTGGCGGAAGAAGACTGGGCTTTTGTGTGCGGCACAGTGTGATTATCGTGAACGGACGTTAGACAGAGATTAGAGTAAAACGCGCTCGCTGATTCACGATTTACGTCGACACATGATTTATATGCCCGAATCGCTTCGCCACAATCGGTCGCACGAGTGGTTTCTTTTCGCGCGAAGGTTTCACGGTATCTCGAGATACACATCAGATTGATAGAATCGTATGTGATAAATATCGTTTCGCGCATATTTACGGGTTGCCATTAAGAGACGATTCCCAGAATATTTCACCGAGTGAATAATTCTTATTGTTCGCTGACGTGAACTTTCAAAAAGAGAGAATCAGCACTTTGTACTGATGTAAAGTCAATATAAATATTGATGCGATATGTTATTATATATGGGAAAAATTATTATTAATTAAAGATTTATATTTTCGTATAAGCAAGAATATATAATCTTTTATGAAGATAAAACTTGCTCACATGGAAATTCTACGTAGTTCCACTAAAAATATCATAATTTTGTTATTGAAGAATAATTTTCTAAGCAATTTTTTGTCTTCATTTAAAATCATAGCTTATGAAGAGAATAATTCCTAAGTAAGCCAAGGAATAACCCTTAAAATTTTTTGCACTTACTTAGGAATCACCCTGTATACGAGAGTATGAGCCTTGAATTGATACTAATTTCTTTCCGTATATAATTAAAACATTATATTATTATAACTGCAGAAATCTTTGTTATCGGAGCCAAATTTCTACCTTAATTTATTAATTTTCCCTCGTGCTACGATAGACACGATAATTATATCGACGATCGATCGATCATCGGCGTATTTTTGCGTAACTTCAATTACGGCCGTGATTTTCGTTGATCGACGGGAAAATTATATACCATTGCGAGGAGATGCGCGCAAAAGCTCTCTCGCGACGTATTACGTGCAAAACATAATACGAAACGTATCTATAATCGAATCGCCTAATCATAACCGAACATGATGAGGCATAGAGATTTTTCGCGGAACATGCTTCGCCGCCGTTGTACTTATTATACGGGATATGTCGATCATAATCTCCGCGAAATCGAGGACAGCATTCGAATTGTAAGGATGCCGGTCTGCTTTAATTAGCGGCAAGCTAGCGCCATTCTTCTGCCTTGTTCCGGTTATCGCGTAATTGCTACGGAATTCCGCGGGATCGCGCGAAAGAATCCTCTCTTCTCCTCCTCCTCCCTTGACAATGTTAATTTACGAGCATTGTGATGAATTACGGCTCTCATAATCGCGACTCGTCCTGACACGCGACTAACTGTTCCCCCAATACCGTTACGGGTGCAAAGGTCCACATTTACCGTGTAGCATCGCCGCGTATCGTATAACTCGTGCGTATTTTTCGCTCTTCCGTCAAAATAATCGGACGTCCCGTGTGTGTGTGTGTGTGTGTGTGTGTGTGTGTGTGTGTGCGCAATGAATTCAGAAATGAATTAAATTTACTACCGAATGCGGTGTGTTATTGAGAATACAAAATGATATAATTTTCCCGTTTGTGTGCATAACAATTTCTGGTATATAAAAGAAATCAATATTATATCACTTTTTATTTTTTATGTTTCAATTTTAGTTGCGAGAAAATGTCGAGATTTTTCCATCTAAATTGATTGCTCGAGTCGTAACGTAATGAAATAACAGAATCGCGATATAAAGTTCTGCAACAATGTTTAGTAGTATATCATACCTCATATATTCTTGGAATATACTCCGTAGAAGCTTAGAATATGATTCCCAGTATAATACGTGTATTTTCAATATGTTCTCAGTATATTCGGCACGTATCTCGAATATTTTGAGAATATACATAATATACTTTTACGATATTCATGGAACATTTTCAAGATTTACTTGTGCTATGTGGGTATTTTCTTCTGCTTCTTGAAACAATTTTCTTTTATTAGCACTTGGCTAATAGACCAGGCACTAAAATACATGAAAACTAATGAAAAACAGAGAACAAAAAACATTGCCTAGGACGAGATCGACCTTGAAGCCGTACAGCAACGGCGATATGTTGAAGCCTGAACGTGGATCTATCGGATATTGTTTATATCTTGCGTTGAACTGCAATAATAATTAAAATTTATTTCATCATTTTAAATGTCTATATTTACTGCATACTTTGCAAAGTATACATTTAGTGATTAAGTATATTATATCAAGAAATATCCTTAAAAATATCGACTTTTAATTTTTTTAAATTATATTTAAAACACACACATCTCAGTTTATAATTATTTATAAAAAGTGAAAAATTTTACACATAAAATATGAATAAATTAAAATATCTGCTAAATTGATCGCCATGCAAGCACTTAAAAAAGTAAAAAAAGAAAAAGTAAAAAATGCGACCACTTACAAGTTAATAGCCTTAAAAATGACATCAGTCTTCGGCTTCTGAAGCCATTTAAGCCGACGGTAGTCAATCTATGGAAAGATCCATGATAACTTTGCTTATCAGTATCAAGAATGTCGAAAGTTACGGAACTACTGGCACACGCAACACGTTCAATCGGGAGATTGAGTTAGAACTTAAAGTTAGCTTCGCTTTCTGCGTGACTGCCGGCTCAATAGCGTGGGTTGTAACCCACATTGAGTATTAAATTGAATCATGATCGACCGTTAACGCCATTATTTACGTATGCGGCGACGCAAAAAATTACCTTGTCGCGAGAAATAATCGTCACTGTATCCTTAAGTTTTCTCTCGTATCTTCACGGTCGAGAAGACTGACGGTATTTCTGGGGCAATTTTCATATAGTCTTTCTTACAAGCGTGGGCTTGTAAGAAAAATCCAAAAAAAGACACCTCTGTTGTATTACCTATTTTATCGCGCATTTTTTGCGTATTCGCGTGTGAAAGTCGTTTTCTCGTCTGCGCGACATATTAGTCGCGGGACGATGGGTTATCGTTATTTGTGCTATATTCCATTGCTCGCAATTGGATCAAATTCTGGAGAGGGTGGTATCATCTCGATCTCGTCAAAGCCCGGTTGTCTTTCGCGGGAACAATTTGTTCACGATCGTTTAACGCGCTAATGTGTGCGACGTTTGTTATAAGGGCCAGTCCTATTAATTAAGACTGGCTTTTAGCCGGTGTAATAATAAAGGACTGATCCTAATTGATGAGAATTAAGAGAATTCAGAGAATTTAGTGTCGATTCTTCCGAAAGTGTCTCTTGTGTCGAGCCGCAGCAATGATTATTAATTTATGAGTATTTACGGGATCTTAAATCTCCGCCGGATCGGCTCAACTCTATAAAACAGTCTTGTAACACTCGTGTGATATGTTTCTTTTGCCGGAGACACGAATCGGAAATATACTATGTCGTTTGAAGAACCGGTTTTTGTTGTGAATTATTTTTCAGTGGTTCAGCGAGAAATCTCTATCACTTCCCTTTAAATATTTATAAATTCGTAGCTGACATTAAGATTAGATTGCAAGGAAATATCGTGAATCATCATCCACGTCGACATGGATTTATCAACTGGTGCGCAAGCAGTTTTACCTGCGAGTAACGACGGGGAGAGTTCACCTCGAAACATAAGACAAATATGCTCGACGCGAGGGAAAGTGAGAGAGAGAGAGAGAGAGAGAGAGAAAAAGAGGAGAGTAGTTAGGAAATGCTCCCCTCATCATGTTTATTTTATTACCGACAAATCTGCCCGCGAAGCCAGACAGCGTCGGCTGAATAGCGAATCAGAACTCTCGCTTGCATTATTTAAAAAAACGGCCGTCTTTCGCACTTTTATTCGGCACGACGGCGCTCTCCGATGGGATTCTTTCCCCGAAGAACGTTTTACGGATTTCGGAGGCCTTTAAACTATCGATCAACGCCGGTCAATATTTCACCGGGCGTCGCTCTTTCTACATCTCGCTCGTCGTCTTGGTGATATTCTCGCGGTGCGAGAGATACATACGGCGCAAATACACACACAGACGATGGGATTTCTATTCTCGCCGCGGGCTGGGATTACAAATCGCATTGTCGATCGCGATCTGTCGCGCACATCCGCGATGGAATTAACTGTCTCGGCCATATTTCAAAGTCGAAAGCACACACTGACGCGCGTCGAGAATCGCGAATGTGGCGCATAGCTCGAATGCTAATTTCAGCGTCGCCGTCGAGATCTCACGGTGCATATCGCGCGCTTCTCTCGGGCAGGATATTTCGCGAATTGTCTAGCCGGGTTATCGACCAAATGACAGCGGCTCGTTCTATAAGGTGGCATAAACACGCGCTCGAGAGAAGGGATACCGGAGAGAGGGATAGAGTCCGCGTGTGCGCGCGCGTATAACGTGTGTGTGTATGTGTGTGTGTGTATGTCCCTTTCTTCGCGGATATTTATTTTAGTTCATCGATTTCCCAGATATCCGTGTGAAAGACACCTGTATGTATCCATATATATGCAAAGTACCTAATAGCCTCAGGCTGACGGACTAGCGTCTCTCTGCCACTCGCCGAGTATACTCTCTATCGCAAAAGTGCGCCCCTCCCCTGCCGTCACCAACGAACCATCCCTTCGTTCTTTTCCCCTCCCGGCTTTGACGTTAATGGTCCATCGATCGAGCAGGAGACAGGTGCGTGGTGGTAGTAAAAATAATCTTACAGCACACTTATATATACACATTGTCGTTGCTACTCGAAATTCATGGTTAACTCTCGCACGTAAAAAGTTCTCTCTCTCTCTCTCTCTCTCTCTCTCGTGTTTTGTACGCGTGTCTCCGTTCGCTTAAAGATTAAAACGTGTAGGAAGAACGAACGTTCCTAGATGGATTTTTAATTTAATTCTTTGTCTCTCGCGAGACGCGTGTTTTGAGTAAAGCAATTTCGCCGGGAGCAAATGAAATTTCAAATCTATCGCACGCGCGTCTCGTATTTGTTCTCAACAAAGAGAGTCCGTTCTCCTCTCTTAAAGGTACTGTCGTCTCGTAAATGAGATTTTCCCTTTTGCATTAATATACTGCGGCACGCGTGTTTATTACGTACAATTATACAGTGAAGTCTGCGTACAGAATGAGATTTCTAATGCGAGAAATGAAGAAATCTTCATCAAGAAATATTGGTAATTAACGTTGACTGTACGCGCACGGTGTCTCCCGGTAATTACTTAAAATAATGTATTCGCGAGAAGAGAGTTGCTTGCAGAATTTTAAAAGATATTTTGCGCGAGCTCTGCAAGTTTGTGTCAACTAAAAGACTCCGTTGGTCGTAAAATCGAGTTTTCCGCCGTAATGAAATTATTTGGATCAACGAGACGACGCGGACGCGAAATGGGTAGTTTTGCGTTTCGTTTTCAATAAAGGAGTTTACTGTGCAAATAGCAGATTAGACTAGCAGTAAAAGGTTTGTCCGTGCAACATCGAAGCCGACAATCTATCGATCTGTTAAATGTATCAGCAATATCCGTCGATTCATAACAATGCGCATTGTGAACTTTAACCTTCCTCAATTACATTTGTTCAATAATTTGAAACGAAGTTTTCATTCTCGTGCTTTATTCCGTACATTCGTCGCTTTTGGAAAATTCCCTGTAAAATGGAATCGCATTACACGTACTTTATGCTTTTATCCGTGCATACACGGAAAAAAATTAGTCTTAAATTAATAATAGATATTCTCATATATAAGCAAGAATATTATAATTTCCTTAGAAAATTCTTAATCCTGACTTTTATCTTGATTCGGTTGAATTTGTATTGATAAATATTATTTGCATTCAATTCAAAACTAAAAGTCTTCTAAGAATATTGTAATATTCTTGCTTATATATGAGAATATCTATCATTGATTTAAGACTATTTTTTTCTGTATATATACTTTGATCAATTCGATAACGAGCTTTTTCTTCTCCATCGGGAAAATTTAAGCGTCAATAGCCTTTGAGTGACGAGTTAATGCAAATGAAGGGCTTTCCGTAAATTAAACTTGAAAGATAGATAACAGCGTCTTATTATTGTCGGCTTGATTTCGCGCGGACTTTAGCGGCAGTTTAATTACAAGCTCAGCAGTCGAGACAATTAATATCGATGGCTCTCGCGGGACACAGTCGCGAAGGCGGCGATATTAAATCCGAAATTCCAACTCGATTCGTTAATATCGCGCTCACTTATTGATCCGAATTCAAATCTGAATTGCATCCTTTCAAAAACATTTTCACCGAGAGAGAAATCGACGGCCGAGTCACTTTAATCGGGGGAACGGGCTGGAAATACGCCGGTGTACCGCCGGTGTACGTCCTTTGCTTGCAGCGCGAGCTTTAAAGCGTGATTATGGCACGTGTAAACCACTCCGGTGAACGCGAAGTGCACGCTTCGCGGTAGGGATCGCGCCCTCGTTGTTGGCAGCTTTCACGTTAGCCGACGCGAGAGCGCAAGTGGAGAACAAGTGTTTATCGACACACCGCGCGCTCCCCGACCTGGTGTGTGCGTTGCTTCTCTTTCTCCGTTAGTTTTCGCTCTCCTCCTCGTGACGAGGAGCACACAATCGCGGCTTTTTCGGCGTTCGCGGACATCGTCGAAGCCGATCTCGCGGAAAGGTTCGTGGCATTCGCGATGAGCAAAGGGTTGAACTTACTTCTTTGCACTTCGTTCAAGAAAAAGAAAAGGAAAGAGAGAGAGAGAGAAAGTTTCATGGCGATATATCGGATAATTAAACTTTCCTTCCTCACGTGTACTTGCACGCAGAACTCTCCGTGAAGTCTCTTATCGGTGCTGTTTATGAATTGATTTTCCTCTCAGAGACTTTTACGCACACACTCGTGACGATACCGATGAGCCCTCGAAGCACGATATCGTTCGTTTTCAATGTCACGACGACACGACAGTTTAGTTTCCATAGCGATCTGCGGGCGTAACATTCGATGTCGTGATGTAACGTCACGCGAAAATGAGCCTGGCGAAAATGAGCATAGGACACAACGAGCTCGTTGTCGTGAGCATACGAAACTAACGTCACTCTATTTTTAGAAACGCGTTTGTACATTCGGGGGTTGATGGGGCTCGAAATCAAATAACGTACGTATGTGTTTCGTAGATGAAAGCTTGAAAAACACTATTTCGACGCGGTAATTCTCGATATTTACATTCGGACGAAAATATTTACACTGGCTTTGTTACGTATCTCTCATGCATGCGTATATACTGCATCGGATAACTCTTCACAAATATTAGAGTCGGTGTTTACGAGAGAAAGAGAGAGAGAGAGAGAGAGAGAGCAAACGAGGATTAAAAATTACCTTGGAGGAAAAAATCATCGCGCACGCGCGACAAGATTTCCCGCAGCTTAAACCGCTGCGATGTAATTACGGGATGGCAGATTTTACCGGGAGGATATTCACACGGGGGTGTAACCCGATATCTCGTTGCATGTCCTGACACCTTTGACACGACCTGCGTTTACTCTCGGTGACACACATCTATATACAACTCCTGTGAGGCGTATATTAGCCATGTAGGCTCTCGTATATACGTACATCGGTTAATTGCGCATGTATCAGGCCGATCTCTCTTCTGATCCGGCCCTTGCGGACTCTTTCTCGAGGACTGTCACCCTCGAACTCGTACCGTTCGTCTCGTGATTTGCGCACGTGTCCGCGTTGTTTAATTTACGCGCGGGACGACACGATGGAGGGGTAGCGTTTTAATTGTGTGTCTATAGAGGAAGGAATCGCTATTGAAATGGCTGTCGATGTCGTTTGCCATGTAACGATCGAGATAACGAACAGGAAATTACACGACGGAACGCCGTGAAAACCGCTCGTTATACGCAATTGTCTCGCGTGCAAAATCAATCGTGTCTTCGTGTATTAACGCGGAATAGTAACCGCTTCGTCCTAACCGACAATCAATATATTTATAGAAGCGACGTAATAAAAGCACGCGTCAACGAAGAGCTCAATCCGTCGGGAGATTATTTGTCAATGGATTCTTTTACTTTTCTTTTTTTTTTTCTCAGAAATAAAAGCGACTCCCGGCTTGTAAATTAATTAATGCGCATTGATCGTTTATACTTATCTCTATATCTCATTAATAATAATGAGACAATAAATGTGATCATAGACAATAGAGACAATAAGTGTGTCATTTTTGCTCTGATTTGAAGGTACTTCTTTCAATTGACTGTTATTCCCACAAAATTTTTTATTATATGTGTAATATGTGTTGTTTCACATGCAATAAAATAAATATTATTATTATTACCATCATCATCATCATCATTATCATAATTATTATTATTTTCATATCATTTCTGCATAACAATATAAATATATTCAATTGAAAGAGATAAATCTCGATTGTCAACGTGACAGCGCGACAACGTGACAATGGATATGTTAAGCGCGCGTGTTAAAATATTATACATCGCGATCAAAATAAGCGGCTTGCTTATCACATATATAGTGTGCTATTCATATAGGATTAACTGATCGATTAACTACCCGTGCGACCGTGCTTCAACAAGATCCCAGACTAGCGTCAGACCAGGTGGCTAACGAAACACACCGTAAACAGTCAAGATATTCTTGTTACAGAGAGAGAGAGAGAGAGGGAGAAGGGGGGGAGAACCGTTTATCCAGATTCCGGTAAATAATTCACCGTTCCGGCGAAGCCCGGTTTATGGTGCGAGAGCGGGAATTCGCGCGACAATTTCGCATCCACGCGTGGCTAATTCGTACGCAATCCCCCCCCCNNNNGCTCTCCCCCCGCGGATGATCGAGCGCTACTCGTATACAATAATCCGCGGCCGCATCGCCGCGCTTTTTCTCGCGACCGTTCTCATCCGGCAAAAATCGCGCGTTGTTCGTCCGGTGGGATTGATCGATGCCAAAAAAGGAGGGAAAGAAATAAAAAAAAAGAGAGTAGGAACTCCGAACCAGCGAGATACTAGTTCGACCGCTCATTTCCGCGATTTATCGGTAACCGTTATACGTTTGCCTCTCTGTTCCGACGGTCGGAGCTTAGTCACAGATACGTCATCGGACGTTCCGTTGCGTATCTCCATTTGGCACGATTAGGGGATGATTCCGGCATTTATCACGGCTCGGGAAACGCGGGAGAATCACCCCTTGCGGGCGTTTGTTAGTTACGACAAAGTATAGTTGGCTCAAAGCGACACTCACCACCACTACCGAGTAGAGGATCTTCGCTTTCAAGTCGGGCGCGTCATTGAGCGACTCCAGCGCGTCCAGGGCGTCCAGGGTGTGCAGGTTAGCCTGGGCGTAAAGAGCGCCGTACCTCTCGGCGAGCCGCTCCACTGTGATGTCCGGCGAGGTCAGGTCCGAGTAATTCTCCTCCACTCGGAGCACTTCGCAATTCGTAGCCGGTTCCGGGGTCGGGCTGCAGCTCTCGTCCGTGTGGTAGCCGGCGCTACTTGACTCCTCCTCGTAATCGTCGCCTAGATTCTCTTCCAGCTGAAATATCTGCGGGCGAAACAGCTGGCGATGGTGTTACACCGGGGCTTTAAGCGGTGACATCCCGCTGACATCACCGCAAAGACACAAAGTATTAGGGGGACCGGAAAGTAATGTCGCTTTCTTAAGTTAAATTCACACGACTACATTTTTAACAAGTTTTTATTTCTAATCAACAATATATTCACCTTCGTTATCAACAACTTTTTGCCATCTAGTATACAAATTTTCAATGCCGGAGCGGTAAAAATCAATCAAATCAAATATCGACATGCGCAGAAACGACATTACTTTCCGGTCCCCCTAATAGTAACTTCGTTTTGTGCCCACTTAAGTAACGTCGAATAACTAAATTTAATTGTCTCTTTCTCTCTTCACCAAGTATCTGTGCTCTGAACGGGAAGACTTTTTCCTTTTCGAGGACATGTTCCCTCATTTATTGTACTGTCCTCGGAATCGTTTTCATCTCCTGTTCCACATGATCCCGTGAAATGAAAAATCTAGGCGCATTTTCTCTAATAAATTCGATGTTATATGTATATCATTTTATAATTTATATATTTTTATTATCTCACATAGAGCAGAGATGAATGATGCAAATTCGAAAAACGCGAAATATTAACGTCGAGAATGTGTCGGGGAGAAAATATTTCCACAGAGAAATGAGACAGAAATGATTTAATTAGCAATATTTAGTATTCCGTCGTGCATTTTCCATTAATTTTGTAAAAAATACCGAGGGAATAATGTTCATTAACTCGTGCGTAAAAACTTGCAAGTTTTGTTACTGTCACGCGTAAGCACACGTGGAAAACTGTGCATCGCGCGCTATGGAGAAACTATCGGACAATCGCAATGCCCCTCGTTTCGCTCGTTCCATTTTCGATCGGGATTTCCAGTCGATTCTGTGCTTTCAATTAAAACGCACTCAGTGGAGAGCAATTAACGCGTTCCGGCATACTGAAGCGGGTTTTTCAATTCGATTCTGTTATATAACAATTTAGGTGGCACTTTTCGCCCTTTTCGCAGCCCCCGCTGTTATTTTCGTCGTTTGAAGTGCAGATTGTCGTGAGCGAACGGCAATTTATTTCTCATATTTTTGTTAACAATTAGACGACAGTGACGTGTTCCTAAAAGCGATGTCGCGGCGTGTTCATTCATTATCGAGAAACTGTTTAAACAATCACGATAACGGGATTCGCCCGTGTGCCCGAGCGAATTTCGCCGAAATTTCGCGAGACTGCGAACGCGGTGCATTTGATTAAAACGCATTTAACGCAAAACATTTCGAACGCGCGACGTGCCTCTCTCTCTCTCTGTCCATCATATCGAATTCCATCTGCTAAGCTGGATGCAATTATTTTCACGATCAAAGGGAACGCGCCGTTCTTCCGCGTGTGCTCCGCTCGGGAAAAAGTAACATGCAAACTAATCTCGTCGTTCATAACGCTGGACGTAGAAACTGTTATTGCTCTCGTAGGAGAACGCGTCGCGATATTCGATCTACCAGGTCGCAGATCGCGCGGGTCATACCGTGTATCCTGCGTTTCGCCTGCGGTCGCAGTAGGCCATTGTGGTTTCGGACGTGATCAATTGTGTTGTCTCAAAACTCTCTATGAAAATCGAGCGTGTACCGATGGCCGATGCCCGCGGATTCAATTTTGCAATTTTTATGACGCACGAAAAATAGTGCGACAACGACGGAGGCGGTCAGCGCGCAGCGTCCAGGTCCGCAAGTCGATTGATTCGATATCGATTTTTTGGACTATTCGATTTGAACTATTAGATCTTTCAATGACGCAAAAGAAGATCGACGCTTCGGCGACGTCAAAATTTTATGTAAATGAATGAAAATCACTCTAACCTTAAATGACCCCATAATTATGACAGTTACTTTAAATGTCAACTGATTATTGACGATTTAGTCGGTATCATATCTAAGCCAAATCGTTATATTCATATACCAACTTGCTGTCGATATGATATAAACTGGACAACGATTAGATCATCAATATTTACATAATATCTTCCAGATATCGCGATGAAGTCTTACAAACGTCAAACCGCACATTGATATCCACATGGTTCCAATTTGATTTCGACATGATTTCGACCGGATTTTTCATCACATGCGAACCCGGACGGTGCTGACGATAGGTAGGAACGCGCGAAATTATCGTTCGTTGCATCGTCGCTACCAACAATTTATTGCTCGACATTAATATTTGTGGTATTAATCATATACCGGGTGTATTAACGCGCTTCGCGCATTAATACTCCACGCCGCTTCTCAAAAGCTTCTCGTGTATGTCGTAACGTATATCTGTATATGTGTCGACGGTTTACGATCAATTCGGCGGGCCGTGTGGCCTCTCCTCCGCTTGCGGGACCGCGCGTTCTCGTCAATTATGAAGAATGACGCGGCGAATCGCGGAAGGAATTCATGTGGCGCAGAGTACACGTCGCATGAACGCGCTTACTTCCATTTATCGCGCCCGGTCACGAACTCTCTCTCTCTCTCTCTCTCCCTCCTTCCCTCTCGCCCCTCCCGCCACCGACACACTCGTACGTACGTTTCAGTAGCCCGCATTCCCGGCAACTATTTCGACGAATCCGTTAATAGCACGCACTAATGAATTACGCGCGCTGGTGCGCTACAGGCGCTTTATTCGACGAGCTGTGCAATGGCCGCTTTATCTCGATCAAAGTTTCAGCGGAATAGACATCGCGATGTTGTTGATATTCGAATCGCGCAAGCATTAACCGCGTGTCATTGACGAAAATAAACAAACGACGCTCGTTTTCATCCTCGCGGGTAGCGGCATTTATACACAGTCAATCGCAGGACGGTTGCAACACTTTTTTTTTTTTCTATAAACTTCTATAACTTTGGAATGCATCTCGCATCCGATAAGAGAATTTTTTTTCATAGCAACTCTCAGGAGATACATTTTCCTATTGGACACGAGATTAGGTTGCGAAACTCACCGAAAACAGGCGTTGCAACCGACCAGATGTTGTGTTAAAAAGAATGCGAATGTAATGTTAAATTATCACATTCACCTTGTCAACATATTTGAATTTAAACATATGTTGACGAGATAAATGTGTCAATTTGTGTACCTTTTAACACATTCTCCGTATTAAAGTAATACAAAATTTCAATGGGTCGTTCTTAATGCAGAATTTTTTACTATGTGTGTGAATAGTTCATAAAATTATTCCTATTTCAGTTATTAAAACCGTCATCCATATATTGCGGAGCCTCTGCAAAATTCATGCGCCGCCCATATACGGTTGACACGGCGATCTGTTAAGAGCGGAAAAATTAGCATAAAAATTTCGACTTTCGAGAGTGAACGGTGTGATGACTCATACTCGATCGAATGTCCGTTCGATGAATCGCGATTTGTTCCGGGCGGATCGAAAATAACGAGATCCCGATCTGCGCTTTTCGCGCGAGGGTGCACTTTGCTTGGGAGCAGCGCGGTAAACCCACGTAATTTAGGATTAGGAATCGTAGGGCCCTTCTGGGATCCCGCGAGGTTACATGTGTAGCGGAGGCGGCGTCTTCCGCGGATCGTCTCGGGCGCATCAGCTGCCGAGTCGGCCGCAGTCTCCCGCGGGAATGCTAGCGGTTGCAGGATGTACTTGTGTGAATGCCTGTGTGTGTGTGTGTGTATTTCGCGGCCGTTCTACCGGCGCAGGTCCTTCACCTTTCTTCTTATTGTTGGCAGCCGACCGTACGAGTCTCTCACGCAGCACGCGGGGGTCGCGTAAAAATAAATTGCGATCGCGCACGAACGACGCGCGCCCCATTGTTCCAGTAAGCCGCCGTTTTCTATATCAAACCTCTTCCCGCTTCCCCCGTTTCTCGCCAATCCCGAGACAGTCGCGCGAATTCGTTTCGTGGATAGGCGATATTAGCAGACGAATCTCTCTCTTTCCCTTTATCTGTCCTTCTTTTGCAGGGTTATTGTCAGGAAAACCGCTGCACGAGTGTCGTCGGCACATATAGTCGGTCGGGAACTGCGAGCGCATTCCACGAACCACGTTCCAAGTAGATCCTTTCTTAAGAGCATTACTCCGTACGAGTTGCTCTTCGAAAGCGCGTTATACGAGTCGTACGAAACGGAAGGCTGTCTCTTAATCCAATTCCGGAGAAATCGGGTCCTAACTACCCCAACTTTTCCCCCTTTGTCGCCAGCTACGACCTTTTTTTTCTTCCGCGAAGCAGAAGAGAAAAAGGAACGAGGAGGAGCGGGTGGAAAGGCGTTCTCCCACGCGCCGTTCTCGAAGATCGAGTTTTGGTGCCGGAGCTTCGCGACCGGGAAATCGGATTTTAGGCAAAGAGGTGCATCTCCGCTAGAGGAAGTTTAATTGTACCTGCGGGTTATCCTCGCTCATAAACTGCAGCGCGAGCGCGCAGCCCCGCGAGAACTGCAGCAACCGGGCGGCGAGGGCCGGATTCTTCGCCCCGTTCGAGGTCGATTTCCTCAATGCCGTCCATTGTCGGAGCGCCTCCTTGTCCTGCTCGACCCGGCGCTTCAGCTCCGCCAGCAGATTCTCCAAGGTGCACGGCCCGCCCGCTTTCTCCAGGGTGTTGAGCAGGCTCTGGTTATCGATCAGCCGCTGCTGGATCTCGCTGTACTTGAGGGAAAGCTGCCGCTGATGGGAAGCCGCCTGCACACCTTGATCCGCTGCAAAACCGTAAGAAAAAGATCGCGGGCGCTCTTCCACCATCTCCTCCACTTCGTCTTTGTCTTCTACGTCTTCCACGGGAGCGCCGGGTTATTATTACCTTTTTATTATTAGAGCGGAACCGATGGCGCAAGACGATTATTATAACTGAATCCGCTCTTCTTTCTACCGTCGCCTCGGGGGCTTCCATCGGCAGATGGCCGGCCTGATATCCGACACGAACAGCGAAATCGTAGCTTGCTGACATTACACAGCGGAATATGCCGCACTTTCCTTTACGCGTATGAGGCGGGATTAAATTATGCGGCGCGATGCGAGGCGTAAATTGCTGCGGATTCACGCTCCAATAAGTTATACTTCGACAGATGGGGGGGGGAGACAGTCTATTCCCACTATATCATAAAGTGTGTGGTATCGACTGCTGCACTCCCTCCCCCCGTTCTAATGAGCGATGCCGCGTGGAGCAATCTGTGCTCCTTACCTATGGATATTCATTTCAGCCGTGACGCAATAATAATCAGCCACCGAAACGAACAATGAAGCAAACACACACGTGGGTGATTGACAGGTGTACAGTGAGCATCATCGAATGTGCAGCTGTTGATGATAGGAGAGAAGATGCGCGTAGAAAACAATTTTGATAGAATAGCAAATCGTTTGTTAACACAGCGACGGCAAAATCATTTTTTCCGTGCGACAAATATTTTCACTGTCATTATATTAACAAACAACTTACTGTTCCAGTAAAACTTATTTTCTCCGTGTGGTCTATCGGAGAACAAACAGTTAAGTTGCGGTGTTGATTAACTTATTAGGTTGCAATCAGAAGCCGTTAATATATTGGTGCGCGCGTGCGTGTGTGTGTGTGTGTGTGTGTGTGTGTGGACAATGCATGTATCTAACAAATCTAACATAAGAAAACCACTTTGTGGACTTCAATTACCTCGATACGCGATGAACGTATCCGAAGATTTCGCTGACATTTGGATTTGTTTCTCAGCGTCCGCGTGAAAGTAAGGACAGATATACATTTATCACTCATCCGTCCGACGCATAACGACGCTTATCGCGGCCGTGTTTGTACGCCACTCCTTTCATCCTTCGCGCCTTTCTCTCCTCGGGGAATACATCAGCGTCGCGGATTGCGCGCCATCGGCAAATATCCGCGTAGCCGTAAAGCGCAGTCTCCTATGTAAATGGCTTAGCGCACACCCCGGCATTACTCCATTTGCATTTGTAAACGTAACACGGCGCCCGCGGCTCCGTTAAAATCCGATACTTCACGGTCCCGCGCAGCTCCAGATGTACACGGGGTGTGTGACGGATCGGACGGCGAGCCAACTTCGTTCCGATAAAGTTAGTGGCGCGTGCGCTAATCCCATCGCATAGTCGATGATAATTGCACGCTCGGCTGTATATCGCGGATGCATGAACGAACGAACGAACGAACGCGCGTTTTGTGTCGGGTGCTCTGGATAATCCTCGCCCCCGTGGATTCCCCGTGGATGTTGAATATTTCGGTGGCATGTTCGTTCTCGCAATAATCGCGGGATCTCGTGTGAAAATCCGCGGGCGATAGCGTGTAATTGCGAAATATCGCTTGGCCGGCGCGCGCTGGTCGGCTTACTCTACGTTTTGCGCCGGCCATTCGGTAATTAACACTTGTCTCGCGGATAATTGAGCGTGTAATCGAGGCCGCGTTGTTGATCTCTCTACCTTTATCACTGCCCAGTTAACGCGTCGATAGTCGAATAAAATTCGCCCACGACATCACCTCTCTGATTCGACGACGGCCTCATTAAAATTGTCGCAGTAATTTCAACGAGACCTGCGTCGTTAATTTGCAACGCGCGTCATTCAAACTACCATCGCGCAACTATCACGCTTATCACTTAGAGTTCATTCAACAATTATGTCACGCTAATTTTTGACATTTTTTCCTCCCTCCCCTCTTCCCTTCGTCACAATTTCATAAATAAATAGCTTGTTACCATATTGTGAATAATGATTATTAGACTGCATTTTGCTATCTTTTTCTAAAATACAAATAATTTCCAGACACATAATATCAAACTAATTATTTTATGCTCATAATTTTGATTAATAAAAGTTGTGTTTTTAAAAATATAAATATTTAAAAATTAATATTTTTGTCATTAACACGAAACCATGGCAAAACTTAAAAATTCTCACCAAATGTAACCAAATGTGTCACGAATGTAAACGAGGTGGATAACCGCGCGCATCCATATTTATAAGTTATGCCATCTAATATACTTTCGTTCCCCTTCCTATCGTGCCAGACCGTCACGCAAGCCCTCCCCCCTTCATCGTGTGACGTGATTGTTGAATCGCTTCTTAACTATTATTATTAATAAAGACCGGGACGTGATTCTCGTTAATAACGAAACACAGTCCTCGTAAATAATAATGTAAGCGCAGCGGGGGTACCTTTGTGGGTGCCGGCGTGCTTGCCGAAATTCTCGATCTTATGCAACGCCAGCTTGTAAGCCTCCGTTCGTGTCTCGAGCTCCTCCTTGAGCGCGACCGGTAACGGCACCAAGTTCGCCGTGACGGAGTTCTCAGAGTTGCTCGTCAGGGTGGAAGGCACCAGTCCGTGTTTGCCGAGTCCTTCGACGGCTCTCTCGAGGGTGCGTCTCCGCGAAATCAGCGCGCTCTTCGTGCCGGGCGATAATCTGCCCAACGAGACGAGGAGCTTACACCAGATGCGCAGCCGACAGTGGTCCTGGTTAGTGGATATCAGGTGCACTATCCTCCAGAGTACCTGCTCGACGCGCAGGATTTTCGTGTCGCTGACGTTAAGCTCCACCAGCCGGGAATAAAGGGCCTCGAGCAGGGCGAGGCTGTGCGGCAGCGTCTCGATCAACAGGTCCACCGGAATATCCGGCAGGGCCGCTTTCAGGGTGTAATGCGGCAGCTTCATCAGGAAGCCGGCCGCCTCCCTGTATTGTCTGCCTTCATACAACCTTAGTAATCTGAAAGAAGGGGTGTTCTTGTGTGCGAAAGTATGCTGGTGGAATTTAGTAGTCACTGTTGCAAAAGTTTCGATTCTGTAAACCGACATACTTGAGTTTTTCCTGGTTTTTTTGTCGATATATATGTGAACCTTGCTCTGAAATATTAGCCGGTCACGGTCTCGACTATTTTAATAGCCGTCGCGATATACAGACGGTACGTACCTTCTCAACGCCATCCGCGGATTCGAGCCCTCATCCTCCAGCATGCCGATATGTCCGACCTGGAACTGCGAGCCGGGGCCCCATACGAGTCTCTGGATCGGATTCCTCGGTCGTTCCGGCCTGATCCTCTCGCAGGAATTAATGCCCGTGGTAGGTGGCACAGTCTGCCTGCTCATCTTCGTCCACTTCGCCGCCTTATTTTCCTAACCGCTCTATTCCGCCACCGAGAGGCCGTATATTTATTCTCCTTCGCCGAAACCGAGTGGGGGAGAGGAGGGAGGGGGAGGGTTAAAAACACCCGGTTGAGAATCACCTTTACGATCCCCCGAGTCCGATAGGACAAGCCATATCCGAGCCACCCACCGAGCTATCCGCCGAGCCGGCTTTTCTTCGCCTCTGCTTCGGAACTTTCACTCTGATCCTTTCTCTCCGTCCCCGATGCGATCTTTGACCTGCAGCCACGCAGGTCTCCCGTGTGAACCCTGCGCGCCGTTCTACCTCTCGTTGTACTCTCGCAAATTGATACTTTTTTCCACGTACTCGAGAGGGGGCGAGTCTGTCGCGACGTTGGATCCGGCGTATACACGTTGCTTTCGCCAATTTACGCGCCGCTCGACTACGTCAGTCGCACACACCAGCTATCTCCCTCGGCAGCCCGGTCCCCTTTATCCACCCGAATCGATTTCGAATGTTCCACTCTATGGTTTCTACCGATCTCACTGTCACTCGTCCGCGCGCGAGTATCTACTTTACGCGCGCACGCGTCGATTAATTCGACACGATGGTTTCGGTGAAAGTAAACCTAAACACGTGTTTGTCCTCTTATTAAGGTTCTTGAGATTTCATCGTCGAGAAGCTCGTCTGTTGATTATTCGTTTCCTTCGCGAGAAACGGGTTTTTCGATTGCACAGTCTTCGAGTTTCTCCCGTACAAACATTTGTTATTTCTCCTGCGATAATCTTTTCGTTTCGGCTGTACCAATGTGTACCTTCTTACGTCAATTTACTCCCCACGATCATTTGCTTCTTATTTGCACGTCGTCGTCGAGAAACGAGAGAGAACTCGCTAGCTTGCTTTTCTCGTTCGCCGAAGCGACTTTTGAAATTTCCGTGACCGACGAATTTTCCGACGCGCGGGGATAATGTTTAAATTACTACCGGGAAACAATCTTCCTTTCTACACATGTCCTCCGTCTTACGTACGCCGTAAGACGGACGTAATTCGCATTGATTCTTCTCAGCAGTGGTAATGTTTGAAAAATCGATTTTTTTTATAGTCGCATCCATTAGAGCGGCGCGCGCTGATTACTTTCATTCGACCCTTAGTTTTTCTTCGCTCTGACTTCGCTTTGTCCTTGAGACCTTTCTCTTTCTCTCCTTTTCCCTCGCGATTTTCCGCACGTCTGGTCGCCGGGAAAACGTAAGCCGCCTCGGAGGCAGCCGTCGGAGCGCCGTCTAATTTTCTAACCGCTATTCTCTCCCACGTCAGGGAGCTTTTTCACAATTCTCCGCTCCTCCGGAACAGCCGGCGGGAACATTTCGTTCTTGATTCGCGGGTGCTTTTGTGCTCGCTACGGAGTCTCTCTCTCTCTCTCTCTCTCTCAACCTCTTTTCTACACTTGTTGATATCTTCGCTCGGCATCGACTCGCCGCCTAAGCCGGCCTCATTACCGTCGCGCAATTATCTCCGCGATTCAGCGCGCGCCGATCGATCTTCCGTAAATAATCTTCTCGTTTTTTGACCTCGTGGAGTGTCCGAGCCGGTTAACGATCGTGACTTTCTTTCCTTCCCTCTACAGCCAAATTCTCCGACTTCTTTCGCTCGCTTGTTCGCTCGGTGCGAAGCACGATTTTCCCTCCGCCCGGTCTTCGCGTACGAAATACGGACTGGCCTACAGCCTCGGGGCTGACCGGTCCACTTCTCGGCGCGGGCTGGACCTGCGAACGGAATTATTTACGTGTATGTGAACCGTGTCTTCTCCTTCTGATACACGCTCGGCCGAGATGCATCCGCCGCGATGCAATACGCGCGGGATACGGCCGAGGACTTTGCATAAATTCCCGGACTTATATCGGCGTCTCTTTTGTGCGGCAAGTGTCGAAATTCGATTGCGGTGAAGCATACACGGGTAACAAACGTTTTTATCGCGTACACGCGAGTTTCGCTGAATTTCCGCCGCGTTCGAGGCGGATTTTGCTCGGAGAACAACATTCGAGAGTTACGGGTGAAATTTTATTCGTCCCCGCTCGTTATAAAGATACATTTCCGCGATTAAGGCCTTCCCGAGACAGAATTTCCAACGAGGGGAAATCGACACAGAGAGCGTGATCCGTAGAGTTTGATATTAATGTTCTCCATGATGCGCTTCTTCGATTTCCCGGAGAGCGCTACGTAGGCCCGCGCGGTAAAGCAAGAAGACGTGGAAAAGGATAAAAGTCGAACGGGGAGTTATCAAAAATGAAGGTAGAATCCACTTTTCTCCTATAGAAACGTCTCTTCCTCGTGCACTCTCTGCGTACGTGGCCGCGTTCTGGCCCGGAGTAAAATATTTACCCGGTAGTGGCGGGACACCCGGTAGCGTCAGAAATGGAAGGTGCATGCATGATGCATCGGATGCCGGAATCGCGGTGTATAATCTTGCTGGCGCATCAGACGTGAATGGCTAGCAAATTTCAGTTTATTTTTGCCGGCAACATGTGCCTTCTACGGCGCGATAGGGCTCGCTGGCGTGAAAAAGATACTGCATAAAAGATACCGAGGGAAAGGGAGGAAAGGATGGGTCGTCTGCATGCGTAATAATCGAGTCGAGCATTGTTCAATCGCGCGAGAATACTAGACGACAGATGCGGGTGTATCGATTCGAGGAAGAGTGACTTGAATCATACGTTGATTTCGCCAATGAGAATCCTTTTTGTGCCGAATGAATGTATCGCATAATACACACACACATACATGCCGTCGCGTTTTAAACCTGAAATGTTCAGATTTTAACAGCGGAGCGATTGATACGTATAAGCCGGACTTTTTAATAAATTCAATGTGTATTTAATGAAACGTTTTTCCTCCCCAACTTTTTATCATGGCTAAATTATCGCGGCAGTAAAAGAGGTAGGTTCGTCATGCTCCACTTGTATATGGCTACAAATTTTTTAATTACTCGTATGTATGGGCATATAGAATTTCTATATGCGTAGAAGTGAATTTTTCAGGATTTGCTAAAGTTACTATTACCTTAATTAAGTTCTCGAGGAAGGATGCCGGGGATAACGAGGGAACATGTATTTCGTAACGCGTTTGAGAAAAAAAACTGCGAGGAACAACTGTCAGGTTAATTAAAAAGTAATTAACGTTTGTTATGAATTAAAAGGAACAGCACGTAACGGAGTAAAAAGTGTTCTTATTACGGGCGCGTTAATTGAATCTCGCGTCTGGATCTTAGTCTTCCGATATGAGTTTCGAGACGAGATTACAAATTAATGTGACAGCACTGTTAATACGTTAAATTTGTGTGAGCTCATTACTAAATTCTACGCTACTATCGGACGTAATTTGATTTTTTAAATAACGGACATGTACGCGTGGGCTGGCTAAATTTTGGAAATGGATGTGGCAAGTGGTTATCTTAATTAGTAAAGTTATTATTAAAAAGTTCCGAGACGCCGAGAGACTGTTTAGGAAAGTAGCCAATTAAAACAAGTGCTCTTATCTTTTAATTCGCGTGTATAATTTTCAATATTTCTCGTTTATTATTGATGTTCTATATATAATTTTATCGATCATCCGTACAATCTACATGAAAAAAAATTAGTATCAATTCAAGACTAATATTCTCATATATAAGCAAATATATACAATTCAAAGTAAAATTAAAAGTCGCGAAATTAAAAAATTTGTAAGACACTCTGTATAATTTTGTGTGAAGATAAAAGTTGTTTTCAAACTGATGCAATTCTTAGTTTGGAGACACCGTTATTTCTATCCAATATTTGTCTTCTCAATTCACGAAAATTAGTCTTGAATAACAGGAATACGATATTTTTAGCGAAACTGTATAGAATTTTTTGACGTAAGCAAGTTTCATCTTCACATAAGATTACATATTCTTGCTTATGCATAGAGAATATGAGTCTCGAATTGATACGAATTTTTCTCGTGTCCAGAATGCGTAAGAACCGAAAAAAGTGATTTCGCAGATACGAAGGACATCAAGTATCGAAGGATCATTTGAGATTATCCCGTCGAAGATTCGTGGCTCACTCGTAACGACGGCATCGACATAACGCGATATTGATACGATATTAAGATTTTATATTCGTTTACCTCGTCAATTATTTTCGCGTGAAAATTCCCCGCTTCCCCAGCGGGGATCGGCTTAGCATATTAATCGAAGACTTACTGAAGTATCGCGATAACGGCGGAGCACTCGCTGATCCTTAAATCCGGGAATATCCACACCGCGAGTAAACTTCCGGAGGTGGATCAGTACTCGCGGCGGAGGGCCATCGTCTTAGGGTGACCTCGAATCTCACGATCGGGCAACTTCACAGAGGGTCACGTATTCACAGTATCGCGGGAGCTCGGATCCACGGGCACTTATTCAGGACCGGTACTCGCCGGGCTCGTGGCGGTCCGTGTTGTTGCTGACGAATTTCGAATGATCCGACATGCCGGCCGCGAGTGCGAGTAACGAAATCGCCGTCTGTCTTCGGGGATACGTAAGGTCCCGCTGCGCGGAGCTTGGTGGTGGAAGAAGAGTGGAGGATCTCGCGAGAGCCAAACGGCTCTCACGAGATGATCCAGCACGTGGGATGAGGTGGAACGGGGAGTCGGACAGAGGAAGAACGAAAGAGTGAGAGAGAGAGAGAGAGAGAAGGAGGGAGGTGAGAACGAGGGGCGAAGAGTAGTGGTAGTGGGAGCGAAGAACGAAGGGGAGAGAAAGGGGGGAAACGGTGAAAGAGATCGAGCGAAAAACATCAAGTGAAGTACGTGAATGAGTGAGTGCGCGGGTGAGCGAGCGAGAAAGCGGCAGGAAGAGCGAAAGAAGACGCGGAAAGGGTAGGTTGATGGTGGATAAGGCAGGTAGGTATGAAATTGTGCACTCTCTTAGTGTTCAATCAGTGTGGAATCAGTGAAAATGTCACTAATTGAATCAGTGAGTGAAACAGTGTTCTCTGTAGATCTGTATCTATGATCTGTTAATGACTATTGACTGCTTCTCGGTGATAATATAGTGATTGCATTTTAGAGAGCAGGATGGGCAGGATCCACGTAACGGTGGAAGATGTATTCGCG